ATTCAAAACTAAACCCAATAACTATAAGCCAATTTCGTAAATTCTCTGTCGGATATTGTTCAACTACTGACTGAAACACGGTGTTCACCGGACATTTATAGATTTCGAACAACGCCGGTCTATAGCACCTGTGTTTCTGCGTCCCACGTATATGACGTCATAAAAAGTTTGGATACTGCTTTCTGCCTTACTATGATGTTAAATATGGAAACATTGCTCATAGTGATGTGGCAAATCAAGAGCCGATCTGGCGTATGTAAAAGGTGTATGCTTGTAATGTTAACGCGACGGTCTACATAGCGATTGGTTGGTTTCCCAACCGACTCCAAAGTATGCTTTGAGCAATAATTAGAATGAAAATCACCACTCAGTAGCAGAAACAGCATCATCATTCATTGCTACTACAATCAAGATTTACCAATAAAAATATGAATGGAACCGAATTTACCAATAACTCTTGGAACTTTTGATGAAACCTGAAAATGTTTCTGTAGCCAGTGGTGAGCCATGGCCTACTGATTGCGAATCGGTGCACTGATACGACAATATATTTAGTGAAGATTACCAACATCATAGGTCACTACAAACAAAGTGTTTTATAAAGTCGTACCCTTGTTTTGATACAGGGCTTTGCAAAATGCTTAGCGGATCGAAGATATCTTTCAGGGGATAGAAAGATATTTATAAACAGAGTTTTTAAATCAAACTTGATATATATGGTTTAAAGGAAATACACTGTTGCAATCGATGGGTTTGCTCGCACTGTGTTGTTAGAATAAGTCACACCTCAATTTCCCAGGCTCGTGTTTTAAATATATAATTCACGGCGCCATTCAATAATAGTTCTTATAAATTGCTCGTTTGGAGAGTCTGACTTTGGTCAGATATAATATTACAGAAAACATTCGTAAAATTGAGATGAGTTAGGAACCCTCAATACGGCTACTCTTTCTATCCGTGCATCAACACAGACGCAAAAAGCAATAGTAAAGTACACGCTACTCTACCGTATTTTAAAAAATATTGCAAAACATTTAGAAATCGTCAACACGCTTGTTTCCACGAAACCGGCATATACAGCTGGATTCAACTCTCAACAAACGACGTAAGACGCGCAATTTGAGGTACTTGATGTAACGACACACGTGCACTTTCCATCGACCTTTGCACATATCTTGTGCAGATGAATTGATACACTTTTCTTTATTTTGCCTTTATTTGGATTCTTTTCAAACTAGCTGTGCGTAAGACGTGTCATAGGTGACAAACGGGGGAATTTCAAAGAGCAAGTTACAATGGCTACAAATCACCTGCTTGGGCCGCGAATTCTTTTGCATTGGACTTGTCCGTAATTGGTGGCTTGGCAATGCTAAAATGGGAAAGATCTCATCGCTGATGTAGAGATTCACAATGAGGTTATTTTCTAATTGTAATGGTTCAAAAATTTCCCACCATTATTTAGACCCTCAAGACCGCGGCCTCTCTAGCTGTTACGGTCTAAACTGGAAATTAGTAATTTAAGAACCCTCCCTCCCCCCTTTTGAAAATTCATGGCTACGCCTCTGTTTATACAAATTAAAAACAAACAACAGATCATAAATGGCGGGGCGATAATCGCATAGTATTAGAAATTGTCGCTTTATTTCTCCTGTTCATATTTTGCTTTGTCATTGTCGGACATTGACACAGGCCATGGTCATTTATAAATTCCAAAACGTTTCTTTCAAGTTATTCCATATATGTTCACTACTTTACGTTGCGTTATTCCACGTTTCTATGATTGTGATATCACCATGCGCGTGAAGTGCCGCTCTGTGCGTCTTATGACAATTCCGACGTAGGCTGACTGATGTATAGTTGCGCTGTAGTAAGTGTGCTTCCTATCAGAGTGGAATTTACCAATTCAATCGCTCTCAACAATACTCCGGAATCTGTCATGTACTATCGTTGTAGTTGAACAAATTCTTAGGATCTTAATTAAAGCTTATTTACTCCAGTATTCATCGCATTGAAGTTGCAAAATAAATAATTAAAATAAAATAAATTGGGCAACAAAATATTTACCTAATATTGCATGTTAAACTAACTGCGCGTTAAATAGTTTGATGCAATTTTTGATAGTAAAATCTCAGCGAGTCACTGAAAAAGTCGATTATTATTTTAGTTTTGGAAAGAAGTTATTACACTGTTCCATAATACTTATAGATCAGTGACTCTTTGACCCGTAACTTGCGTCAAATTTTCACGTGAGTTCGTACGTTTTGCAACCCATTACGCTGACAGAGAATGAATGCATGGACGTAAAATATGAATATCTTAGTCATGTTTCAACATTAGAATGCCAAATAAAGTCAAAGATTCGGTTGAGCCGGCTGAGTTTTGAATGCTATTGCAATAAATTTCATTCACGACCGCATCGATTTTCCTTAACCGCATTCACTTGAATTGAAGAACGCCTTCGACCGAAGTCTTGAGGTTTTGCTTTGATTAAAAAAAGGAATATAATTTCACGTGGTCGTATGCATTTCATCTATCAGTATTTTTCCTTATATTTCGGAATGTTCCCGCAAATCAGATTGAAGAACTTTATTTTAAATAAACTCATGCTGTTGTTCTTACTCTTTTAGCTGAAGGTTTGGAAACTTATTTTGATTAATTACCACTTAGTGGCGTATCTAGGGTATGGATTGTACCATGGGCGTTGTTTGAAAAAGTGCGCAACAAAGAGAAAAGTTTAATGTTTCATAAGCTAATGTTAAATTGGAAATATTTGCAACTCGTATTTTTACTCGAATATTAACGTACAAGTATCTCAATTCAGCAACAGTCTGTAAAAATTTTCAGTCAACGATCAAAGCGCCGCGTTTTTAACTTTGCAACGGACACCATTTTTCGTAGATACGATATTGCTCCCACGCAACAAATGTCTTAGGCAAGTTTGCTGGCTTGTATTGCAAGATCAATGCTTAGGAATAATGTTTTCAAACAATCATTTTTTTTTGTTTCAAACCGACCGGGAAAGCATGATACATGATATTCCAACAATGTTACATCAAATAGTACGAGTTATTTTCCCTCCAAATTTGCACAAAACTCATGGAACGTGTTTTGAGCGGATGGAATTTTCTGGTAAAGGTTAAAATATTCCATTCAATGAACCCGAAACTGCCGGGGTCAGGAACAACAAATTTGAATATAAAATGGTTCCATTTGTACATTCTAAAATCTAATTTTAATACTTTTAAAATTTCTGAGAAATGTTGAAATCTCATCATATGTAATTAAGATTATTTTCTCGTTCATTTTTGCATAAATTTTAATTTTATGTCGTCACAGATGATTTGCAATTAGCATTATTGTGATTACACAAAGCGGATGTTTGTATTATTTCGATATCCATTATGACTCAGCTCATTCCAACATGCCTCATCACATTTTTGAATTAAGAATAGCCTGTTCCTACGTCAGTGACTGTGGCCCCATCAGAATTTCGTGGCGCAAGACGACGCCCCTTCCCCTATTTATGTGTCATGGATCAGATTTTATTTGCATATCAGTGTCTGTGGCGCCATCAGAATTTCGTGGCGTAAAACGACGCCTCCTTCCACTATTTGTGTGTCATGGGTCGGATTTTAATAGGTTATTTGCATATCAGTTTTGTAGAAGTTCTTTCGACAAGCAGACATCGATATGTAATTGCTGTTATGTTTTCGAAGAATCTTTCCAGTATGGCATGAAGCCAAATTATTTTAGCTTTGTATAATAAGAACAACCGTTGCCGCCCCTTTCACACCCCTTCTGTTACATGACAGTCTTTCCTAGATTCAACTTTTTGAGTGCTAACGATAGTTTGCTTAGGAGCTGTGAACCGGCCCATTCTAATAGAACAAACTAAAACTGTTATGTACAATAGGTCCTTGCTATGACCAATGCTTCTCACCCCAGCTACGTTCAAAAATTGTCAGGAATTTAGAAAAAACCGAAAAACCGCGCACCCGAAAACTTTGCTATTTATTTTCATGTTATTAATGCAAAGCTCCCAAACCTACAAAACCGCTCTGTGAACCGTATTGGGGTCCAAGAGCCCCCAATTGGGAAAAATCATGCTTTGTTGTCGATATTTTCAACGTATAATCTGTTATACATTTTTATTAGATCTCGGTCCGCGCTTTTGAATTGTAGTCTTCGGCGAAATACAACCACAGCATCTGGCACCCATTCTTCTATTTCGTCTTCATATTATGAATACAAAGCTGACAGACTCCACTTACCCCAAAAATATCGTGGGGATGGACACATTGGGTCTATGTACCCATGTTGGGGACCACTTGATCAGGTTCTTCGTTTGCAGCGGTATATTATGATCTGTTACACTTTCAAGTACGGCCCAATCGTATTTTGTGGCAGACGGACGGCCATGCATGTTCGACCATACCTGTTAATATCCCAAGTAATTAGCATATTAAATACAATAGGGTTGCTTGTGATTTATGATGTAACACACCGGATATTGTTTCGTTATAAATAGGAATTGTTGAGTCACAATGTATACAATATACCTCACAGTAATTAGCATATTTAAGTTGATTGTGATTTATGATGTAATACACAAGTTGGCAACCGGATATTGTTTCGTTATAAATAGGTATTGTTGGGTCACAACGTTGAAACCTATGTAGTTGTTATGACTTAATGCAATATACTTCACAGCATTAATAATAATGTCGACGAAACCCGTGAGTTGGTGTAATGATAACACTTTCAATGCATTACGGTAAAGATATTTTTAAACCCATTTTACGTGCAAGTATTGAGGATTAAGATTTATCCAAGTCATAAGACGTGTAATGCATCCCTGAGTGCTCCAAAATTTGCTCAGAGATCAGTCTTTTTTTACTTCTGAGTGAGTGCTTGTATCTTTGCTATGAAGTTGAGTACAGAGGCGAGTCAATGTCTCAAGTCTCTTCAACTCTGATTTTAACCAATCTTTTCACATTCAGGTTTTGTTCTGGGGACTGCGGGATTTGAAGCGCGTACAACTGGCTACAGTGGATCAGCCGAGAGTGGATATCCAGATTGCAGGGAAGGCGGTCAGTTCTTGCATCATTCCGAATTATAAGAAGAATCCGAACTTTGCCGAACCCGTCAGATTTATTGACGTAAGTGAATTGTTATGTTGAATGTCTTTTCTTGTTTTCAATGGTTTTTCTATTGTTAAAATAGGATAGAATCCTTTTTCTGATAGGCGTGTTTGCACCTTTATTTCAAAAAAGCCACTATATAAGTATACACGTAACCGGCCCGCGTTTCTGCGATGCGCATAGTGTTGAGAAACGTATTTAACAATTGAAATTATTTTTGTGCATGATAACAACCCAACGTTACGTTATCCCTGGAATATGTTACAAATGACTTGAGTTTTTTTTTGTCGCCCTGTATTTTAAAAGTGGCAGAATCTCTCCGATCCGGCACTTTTTACCCTAATTGTTACGTCCTAAGCGACTATGTGGGCATATCTTCAACTTGAAAAAACGGCTGGGTTGAACCCAACTCGCGAACCCACAACCATACGAACTTTATTCTTTATGAGGCGTTATGTTCGTATAATAATAAAAGTTCCCAACGACATCATGTAGGCTTTAGAAGTGCTTCGGTCCAAGATTCGGATTCGTTTAGAACCCCGAGTGACTTGAGGATCATCAGAGGTTCAAAAAAGTTCAAAACTCAATATGAAAAACTGTGAATATAAAACAGTTTACTTACAAAAGCTAGCCCAACAGCTAGGATAACGTTTATATAATAATAATAAGCACAATGTAACAATGGGGGTCGTTATGACGTAGTTTTCATCGATATTTTCAACAAAAATTTATACCTAATAAAAATTATAGTCGTATTTCAGCAGAAACAAGTGAGCCGTATCTTACCCTCGGGCGGTAATTTGCCCACCCCCGCCGTATACTATGAAAAACAGCCTTTTTGTTTGTTCCAGGAGGTCGATCTGCCCGAGAATGAATACCTTTGCCCACCTATCACCATCACAGTGGTTGATTGCAGAGCATTCGGACGTGAAGTTCTCGTTGGAACCCACATCATCAGCAGTTTGTCAAAGTTCATCTTCAGGCCGCCAGAGAAATCTGAGATGTACACAGGTATAAACAAATATTGGTATTTGGAATCTGAAACGGCGGAAACTAAAACGTTTTCAATTTTGGTAAGTCGTTTTCTCAGTTTTCGCTCTTAACAAGGCTCTGCATAAAGCTATGTGTAACAAACAAAATCGATATTTTAAATCTAACCCTTTTATTTATTATTTTTATTAGGCGTTTTTCACCTTCCCTCCGGCTAGGGCTTTTTATGCGTACCAAAGCAATATTGTTTTTTCATTTAAAATCTAATCCTGAGAGTGCGTGGACAGTCTAGTATTCTTAAAAGCCAGCCTTCTATATACATTTAACAACTGACAGGCGGCGGTGAAATTTTTTTCTAGAATTTTCACACTGTTTGATTCGAATCCGCTGACTGCTAATATACTCAGTACGGGTTCCGGAAGAATCCTGAATTTGCGAAATGATTTTTATGATATTTATTTGTAAATTTGGGAATCTTTGGAGTTAGATATTTTAAACATCAAGTTTTTTTTTTCAACCTCTACTGGGTATAAGTCAATGAACCCCAAGTCGCGGTCATCCGAGTCCGATATCGAGTCAATAATTGAGATAATTTTAGTCAAAGTGTCAGACCTGACTACGATGCCATCAAAATTAAAAGTTTTGGGTCTCATGCCATTTCCAGGTGTAGTAATTGAGCGGGTGATACCGAACTGGGAAATATTCCGGATTTTTTAAAGTAAGCAGCACGTCTATACATAACAGTTGTTTGCACAAAGTCGTGATTCGAGTGAAAAGCGTATGAAAAAAGTTCCGGATAAAAATTTTAACTTTTAAAACAGTCTATGAATCACGCGCTGCAAGAATATTTCCGATGACTTTATGAAATTTCCCGCCTACGCCCATACCATGGTACTTGCCGCAATTATGAGAAATTTGCTGCAGATAATTCCCCACGCGGAAAACTATTCTGAGTGGGAAGTTCATGAATAAATATGTGAATTGTAATTTCTAAAAATATAATCTGTTACAACATTAATTTTTTTATCAGATTCTGAATCACAAATTTTTTTAAACAAAATTACATTTACTCACATAAATTAACCGGCATTTACTGACGCATCAAGTATCACCACAATAGCTCGTGGCATTCCAGTGGTCTCTCGTGACTTTAATCTTGAAAGACTGCCCGTAACTATGCTCTGAAATGAGTCTTCTTTACTTCTGAGTGAGTGCGCGTAACTTTGCTCAGAAATGAGTCTCCTCTACGTCTGAGTGACGCCCACCATAATTCTATATCGTTCCAATGGCTCTTGCCATGTTTCTGTGGCCCAGAAGTAGGCCATGGCCTACTGGTTGAAAACCGGTTTCTATACACTGGGTAATCGCGCCTCGTTTGGAAACTTATATCTTTAATTACATCTCAGGATAGGACTCGGGGTAGCGTTTGAGACATAGCGATCTTGTCGAAATAATTGGATTTCTGGCTGTATGCGCCAAATGCGTATCAAGGAAATAAAATCACATTCATAGTTCATTCCCTTACCCCCATTCCCCCTATAAAAACAAAATTAAACTAAAAACGCAAAATCTCCTAACAATATACTAACGGACGCACCGAATAATATTGTTCTGCGAGTTTGACCAAAATCTGTTTATATCTTATTTTAATCCTCTTGTGAGAATGGACTCAATAACAGTCTAGAACTATTGCATAATTTGTTATTCCTATTTCCATCAAAGCTGCAATCAGGCTTTTCACGGATACTTTGCAAGGTATATTTTGTTATTGTGAAGTAAGTGTGTTGATGACGTCATTGCATGCATATGTTTTTTATGTGAAAAAAATCACTAACACGTCTGCCTTTGCACAAAGGGCTTTTAAAAATCATTTTATTTTCAACTTCTACTACGTCATTATTTGATGACGTCCTATGATTGACAGATGAAGAAACAGACGAGGAGGATATTGATATGAAATCTAAAAAATTATTCAATCGTGAGATAATGGTCGAATTAGACATAGCATGGATTTTAGCTAAAAGAGAAACATTTTAGTCCGTACCTACAAGGCCTTTTGGTAGTACACGCATTCATAGCCGATCTTTGGTATGTTGGCTCTAAAATTGAACAAAAGAAAATTTCTTTCATCTCCGGGGAGAATGCATGGTTGTTTTATCGCTATTTGTCTCTCCACTCTGACACCCACAGGGACGGAAGAAGTCACTATCGACCGAAATCTCTCTGAATTTCTTGTGCTTCGAAACTCGTCCGTATGATGTGTTGTTCCATATCACTGCCATAAAGAAGGCTCTGTATCTCCCCTGATAAGTACGCGGCTGGAAATTGACATCCGAATATGGTTTATGTTTCTTAAAGAATCGACAGAAATTTAAACTTAATCGATATTTTTTTTTTAAAAACTGCATGACTGCAAAACCATTTCCATATACGAGGTGCGGCTAAAAAGAAACGGGACTGACATCACAGATTGCGCAACACGATTAACCATCGGTAATCAACACTTTTGCAGTGTGGCGTAATATGTGTTCTTTGTTTAACAGCTGTTTTGACACAATATCGCAATTATTTTTGCTTTTCAGGATCCATAAGTGAATGTGATAAATTTCTTGTTGAAAAAAAAAAATGCTGTGCGAGGTCTGATTGAGTTTTTTGGCGATAGGGGATTCAATTGCAGAATGACGATTGAGCAAAGAATTAACATTAAATTTTGTGTCAAACTTGGAAAAATGCATGTCAACTCGGCATGCATTCAATCGTTGAGCTTTCTGCTCCTCAGTCAACTCAAGAGTCTTTGGCATCATTTTGGCACACACCTTTCGCATTCCCAAAGTGTCAACCAAAATGGTGCGGACCGTTGCTTTGTCCATCCCAATTTTGTTGGCAATGACGCGAATTGTTAAGCGACGGTCACTGCGAACCAACTGCCAAACCTTTTGGATGTTGGTAACAGTAGTGGAAGTGCAAGGCCTCCCTGACCTCGGATCATCCTCCACATCCTCCCTGCCTTCCACAAATCTCTTGTGCCATTCAAAAACTCTTGTTCTGGACATGGAAGAATCTCCATAAACATCACGCAACATCTGCTAAGTCTCAGTCGCCGTTTTTCCAAGCTTGACACAAAATTTAATGTTTATTCTTTGCTCAGTCGTCATTCTTTAATTGAACCCCCTATCGCCAAAAAACTCCATCAGACCTCGCACAGCATTTTTTTTTTTTCAACAAGAAATTTATCACATTCACTTATGGATCCTGAAAAGCAAAAATAATTGCGATATTGTGTCAAAACAGCTGTTAAACAAAGAACACATATTACGCCACACTGCAAAAGTGTTGATTACCGATGGTTAATCGTGTTGCTCAATCTGTGACGTCAGTCCCGTTTCTTTTTAGCCTTACCTCGTATATGCTGTAATGGGAATTTAAACTTCACCACTTTACTGCGTTATTCTTAACGGCTTTCAATATTCGCAATAATTATTAGATCTTCTTCTGACGTTTACTTGGATATATCCTTTAAAATACACAATCAACCAATCATATAGGAAAACTTAGGCCTCGACCGAAGCTCTATTTACACTATTATCAATTTTTTGCTCTTTAATGCTTAATGTCCTGTATCTGTCTGTCTCTATGTTTATCCGTACTTGTCTGTCTGTATATTTGTCCGTTATGTATTCGATAGTAGTCTTAGTTTAGTTTGTAGTTCCTTTTTATTATTATTAATGTTTTTGAATAATCTGTAAGACCGTCGGTCTGAATGTTACTGCTTGTCTGTCCGTATGTCTGTTATCTTATTCGTTATAAGTTTGGATAGATATTTATTCGGTCGTATTTATACTTTTTTATTAATACTATGCTTGTCTTCATTATCTTTGAGCCGATCTGTCTGTCTCTTGCTCGTTTCTTTAATGTGTTTGCAATTTTATTTTAAGAACATTGTATTTTCGTAGTTTGCGTATTTTTTTTCCATATTTTCCTTAAAGTCCCTACGAGTATACGTGAATGCGTTGCTGCAATGCGCATACTTGACGTAATTCACACGTTTGGTACAGATAAAGCTCTGGCCCAGCACCTACCGATACTTGGGAAGGTACTACTTAACAGCAGCTTTTTTCATTTGGTATGGCCTTTTGTCTTTAAGTCATATTCTAATCAAACCCGTAACTTTGGGGCGCTCTTCACATCTTCGATATGTACAAGCAGGCCCCTGATACACAAAAACGCCATTACTATTGGCAGGAACTGGCCATCATTGTTCATTATTACTTACTCCATTTTAAACGTATGAATGCTGTTTTTTTTAGATTCTGGTTTATCTCAAGTCGGAATAAATAAGCGTATTAGTTAAGCTGGGTTGGGGCAGTGTCCTGTTAATGCCCCACCAGTATTTTCAAGTGACGGGGTCGATACATAAAGCAAAATACCTCCTCATTTTTATGTGGGATATTCTAACTCGGCTCCTGGTAGACAACCCCCTGTTAGAACCATACAGACGGTGAATATCGTAGCCATGATATATCTCAGGTATAACTTGTACCAGAACGCTGACGTGTCTTTTTATCTACTCAGGGATCAAAGGTCGCAAACAACATATGGCGGCAATTTCTAGAAGTGACGTCAACATTACGCTTGCTGGATCCCAGGGGGGACTCCAACACTTATCACCACCGCCCCCTGGTGGAATGGTGGAGATAGCAATAGACGTGAGTACAAGAATATCTTACAACTGTTACAAGCTTTTCTTCGTTTTATAACTTTGTCGATAAACGGGAATCAGTATGTACGGGTGACAGAATGAATACCATTGGAACCAAACCGTTGATCTGCTCACGAAAAATATTTTTATCGGATATTTCCGAAATTTGAATTTAGGAGTTTGGAGCCACAGTCGAAGAAATATTTTTTTTTATCCTTGACTCGGGAACCGGGTTCGGAGTCAAAATTTCGGTAACACGGAGTGGGGTATGAAATACGGGCTCGTCTACGGACCTGGATAGCACAGTATAAATTTCGAGATGGAATATCGAAAATAAATATAAACTTCAGAGACGTCACAAATACCAAATTGTAACGTCAGAATTTCGTTTCTGAACATCTTATACAAGGTACTCCCGAAGTATGTAAACTAAGATGGCGGACACCGGGACTTAGTATGTTTACCAGGTTAGGGTTGGGCCATTTACAATTTACTTTAATTTAGTCCTATTACGAGTTCCGGGATAGCCAAGTGACTCCCGTAGTATTTGAAATTTTGGCGTTAATCCAACCTGGTACACATACTACGTCCGGGTGTCCGCCATCTTGATTCACATACTTCGAAATTACCTGAATTCAAATAGATACGAAGGCTTTTCTTAGACACTCCTGCAGGAAAAGTAAAACTTGTTTATTCCCAGGAAAACGGTGCAAAGGAAGAAGGCGAAGAAGACGACCCACTGGATGAGGCGGCTTTGGATTGGTGGAGCAAATACTTTGCTTCATTGGATACATTGAATGAGGTGGGTGTGTTAGGGGTCGGAACACATAGGCAGACCCTTGTCAACTGCAACCTACGCACTTTCATACGCCTGATGATCGGTTTATATTACTAATTCAATCAATAAAAATGTATTGGTCAGCGTGTTTAATCTGTGCACGCAAGGCCTGTAAGTAAAGTTATTTCAAATTGTGATTTTGTACTTGGTGAAAGGTAATAAGATGAATGGACAAATTCAATTCCTTATTAATTCTTGCCTCCACCCAGACTAGGCCCCGCACAATGCATTTCGTACAGTTCCCCGTCATGGTTAAGCCGGTCCGACAGTCGGGCAAATGAGTTGGTCAAAAACGCAACGCATACAGCCTGCAAAGGCTTCCTTTCGATTTGCGGCCAACGCAATGTCAGTTAAATTTCAAATAATTGTTTTTAAAAACGTATCGAATGTCATATGTATCCAATGTCGTATGCGCATCTTGTATTCTAAGTTGTGCACGAATCACACACATGGCCACTTCCAGCACAAAATCCCCCAAAATATGAATAGAATAGTACCGAATGTCATATGAAGGTGTGCCCATGAATTAAGTAAAATCTCGGGCCGCGCATCGACACAAATGACTAATGACTATCATTGACCTCGGCAATATAAGAATATTTCCAGTGTTTTCAGCAAATGGTGCTGAACGGATGTCATATGGAAACCTAAGAGAATAGCACCGAATGTCATATCAAGATGTGCCAATGAATAATAAAACAACATCAAACGTTAGGCGTATTATCAACCACCGCAACAGCGTAAAATTGACATTAATATCTGATTTTTTGGCAAAATTTTTACTCAGGAAAAAGCACGCCAGGAAGCGGAAGAAGGTCCCCATGATCTGTACGATGAGGATGAACGCTCGCCTGATGATCCGAACCTACCAAACGTACCTAAGGACGATGGTGAGATATGTTTTGTAGATAACGTGACAAATATTGTACGACTTGAATCGTATTTCCGGCGAGGTGCATCGCATTTTGGCTTCGAGTATAATTTACTTACATGTAGATACCATGTTTCTGAAAGTACGGTACCGCCTGTACTTGAGGCTTCTCTCAAACAATAGCGCCCGTGCACAGGAACAAACGAATTAATTTACAAAACGTTTCTGCTTCATTGGACAGTTACAATCAGCCAAGTGATTATTTTAAAAAGTAAAATTAGCTCGCGGATCCCATAGGTTTTTCTCATCTGACTTAACACTTAGCCCTTTGAGAACATAACGTTATACGTACTAAGCTAAACACAGTTGAAGAAAACCAATTAATAGCGGGCGATGCAGTACCTGTGACCTGTTTTACGATAATTTAAGTCAGGTTACCGTTCTCACCGGAGATGTGTTTGAGGGCGATAACAAGATATCAAACACTCTTTTCAAATTAAAATTTTTTAATTATTATTTATTTTAAATTTTGTTGAACATTGTCAGATTTATTTGATAGCCGTTTTGGCGTCTTCACTCTCAAATGCCCATTTTTTGTTTAATTTTAACTTTGCAATCAGTTTTCCAAGTATGGCGAAATAATAAGTTAACGGACGTTGGAAACCTTACACGCACTGCATTTTATTGAACAAAATATATTTTATTATTATGTTTCAAAATGAAGACATTTTCGTATTTACAATTTCCAGGGCAATATTTCATAAAATTTCATGGGAGAAGATATACGAAATTTTGAGCTCTGCGTTTTTTATTCCAAAGTCTGTCAGCTATAAATAGAAGAAAATCTTTCGAAATGGAGGATAATTTACCGCGGTGTTATGGCCACAAACAAGCGGGCAATTAAATATATTTAGACATGTTTTGGCCTCATCAAATTTATAAACCGATAATCACGAGCAAAGCTAAATATTCCTTATGGTGATATATCAAGCAAGTACTATCAAGAAATATGTTGATTTTACTAGTATTTTAAAGTAAATAAAATTATTGAAAAACGCGTTGAAAGAAGAGTAAACTCGAGACAATTTCACTATTCTCGAGCTGACTAGTTTCTAGAACTCTCACAGTGAGAGTAATGTTAATGTTACTGCCATATTAAATCAGTGAATCAATTTTTAAATAGGCTATGATGAAAGAAGAGTGAGTTTAGAATATTGTTTGAAATGACGGGTAGATCTAATCAATGTCGTCCACTCGTTTTCCCGCTACACTATTCCCTCATTATGACCCCAAAATAGCATTCCAAACACATAACACAATACCAATAATTTACCTGTATTCCTTTGTATTCAAATCACGAGAGATTTTCTATACCTCTAATCACCGCACCGCACCACTCAATGACCATAAAGTTGTCCTTCATGCTCGCTTCCGGCGCGCTGTTCCCGTATTCGTGCGCTTGCGGATAGATAGAAGTTAGAAAATTATAAATTGAAGAGATATCATTAAAAATGACTGACACACTGCCCTGATAGTATGAACTTGCTCGTTCCCAATACACGATTTCTACCCTTATAATAAGTTCGCTGTATCTGAGCGAATAGTTACAAAGACCGTGAAATAACTGTTAAATCAAAGTTTATTTCCTTTTTTTTTAATCGTAAACACGTGTCTCATTGTCACATGACCTACCATCACGTGGGTTCTACTCAAAACATCGTAATTTGAAGTTGCTATTTTTTCGAAAACCAACTTTATATTTTTAGAATACTCGTGTGTATATTTGAACCTTTTTATCTTTTCCACATCATGCCTAATGACTACTTGATAAATCTATTTAAATAATACAACAATGACATTTCTCCTCACGAGTTTCACGACAAGTTAAGTTTTATTTGTTTATTAAAACTCATTATTGTTATTTGGTAACAATGACAATGATGTCATTATAGCAATAAATATAATTATGGAGAATGTTATTATAACGTCACAAACGTTTCGAAATTTCGTGAATTATTATTAGTTGGAAGTTGATTATTAGAAACGTTTTTGACTTAACAATGCATTCGCGGTCACGATTTTAACGATTATTACGCCACAGGGTTCTAATTGTCTTTAAAAACTTTGTTTTGTTACATCACACTTCTCAAAGCCGTCTTCCATAAGCCGCATTGAGGTTCAAGCGCGTGCAAATACTATCACGTTACAGGGTAATCGTGAAGCGAATCTTTCACTTTCCCATATTTTACTCTGAACAAGGCTGTGTGAAAATTGCTACTGATATGTACCTTTTCAAAGACAACGAGCAAGATTTGGAAATTTTAACAATATTTTATTTAAAAAATGGCACTTTTTAAGCTGTTTTTTTAATCAAAATTTGAAGCCATATTCACCAAAGTGTTTCAATGAAAAGTTAGAGAGGTTTAAAAGCCAAAAACAGATGTTTATCTCGAAATAGTTTTTTCGCGTTGGCCACGGCATAACCTTATCCAAGCGGCATTATTAATAAAACTTATCGTGTGTTTACTATATCTAGCATTCCCACGGAAGTTAAAAATAGAGATCACGACTAATCTCTGCAAAGCTGGTATTGTTTATATGATGTCATGTTTGAGGGTTAAAAGCCCAACTTAAAAAACCTATTTGTTTAAAATAACATTTGCAAAAACCAAAATAAAACTGATGAAAATCATTTATTAATTTGCGGTTTTATAGGCGTGGCCTAGACTTCTACGTAACAATGACTATGCTAAATTTGACAAATCAGCCTGTTTGTTTAAAAAAACACTTTGATTGGTTTCTGAGAATAATTTACTGTTGAATAGCTGCAGGAAGTTTATTTGCATTTTACGGTTTCTTATGACGTTTTATATTTTTTATTCCGAACGATTGCCTGGCGATAAACGTCCAATGTGATTAGAAGTTACATTTGTATGAACATAATCCAACTATTATAACAGGAATGTCGCAAATATCGGATTTGTATGCACCGTCTCATCCAGGATAAATTGAGTTGGCAAGGCCGAAAGGGAGCAAGCAATTCCTGTCTTTATACGCTCTTTTTCTATCAATGATTGCTTTCCGGGGAAACTATTAACAAGGTTCCCAAGCCGTGGCCCGCGGGCCAATTACGGCCAGCGTAACAATTTAATATGTCCCGAAAGCCAGTGAAATAGGTTAACACTTTATGTTTTTACTTTTTGAGTTCTAAATACCGCAAATTGTTACGTCAATGTACAGTTTTAGCACGTGTATATTCGTAACAGTTAAATTATACCGGTACACCTTAACTATTCGTGCCGGTATCGGTATCGGCCCCTTGCGGGCGCTTCACCATCCTGAGCCGCGACGATCAATCAATTTTGGGAATCACTGCAGTATAAAGAGTATAAAATGGAATATCATTCATTTTCGGAAAATGCGCGGAAGTAGGATTACAATATGTGCAATTTATTTTGCATACTTTACCTCAGTGATGCCAACTTTTTTCAAGCGAGCCACAATTTAAAAAAATGTTGTGTAAAATCTCGTGACCCAAGGGTATGCTCAAAACTAGGCGGTCTCCCGAAGTGAGTAATTTGCGTTTATTAGCCATAAGCGAGTTTATAAAATCGTGGGGTGACTTTACTAAAGCAAAAGAGCACTTGCTAAGATTTTACGCCGTGAAACTTCCGATATATGCAATTACTATTGAGCAACACTTCAATACAAATATAAAACAAACAATAAAATTTACTAGAAAATAAAAGCAGTAACTTTCGGTATTTTTTTTAAATTTGTCAAAATACCTCTATAAATACCACAGTGGGTCATGAGCGCGAAAAGCTTTCGGAAGGGGGCAAATGATCATAGAAGGTTGGGAACCACTGCTTTAGATCTTTCTCATGCGATACTGAAGTAGCACAATGGTGTAATTGTTAACGATATTGCAACATGGAATGTCATACTCTTGGAAAGTCCGTGATTAAAATTTCCGAGAATTTAGATGGAGTGCTTCAACATTTGCGGACGATTACACAATAATAAATCAAGCAGGAGAACAATGATGCAATATATGGTCGCTAAAGTGGTGTCTGTGATATGTAACTGTGTATAAGCGCCGTTCGCTCAGTGAAAACTCGTGGGTTATTATCGAAGAAATACCTGGCACGCGCATATCCATACAAAAAGAGATTACGGCAATTCAAGTCAGCGCTTCAAGGAAAATTCTTTGAATTTATTTTTTATAATATCACATGTATTCCCTTTTTTCTCAGGTATATGATATCACTATTAATGATTTTTCAAGTTTTATTTATATTTGCTGATAAGTATAAGTACTGACCATGGCTGAGCTGTGCGTGCGTTTCAGACATTTATATACGTTTTAAACACGTTTGCACAGGTACTGTACAATCATTCTTTGATATGCAAGGGATACTGCTTTTATAGGAATTAGCTTCCCGATTTAACATCGCCCACCCGATTGAGTAAAACGATTGGTAAATGTCTCATAAACGTTTGTCACAATACCAGGGACACGACATTTTGGAGACACACAATGCGGAAATAGGATAGTATTCACATGTTTATCCGAAAAAGAGAAAAGCCACTAGCTAAAACGGCTTAATCATATGGCGAACCACGGTCTCTTGTCCATATCGGGTATGGGCTTAGTTAGCCAGTTATTTGTTTCAGGTGCATAGACTTAATGGTGGCAGAAGCCCTAACCGACTAGCATTTACGTGAACCAACCTACAGCGGCGGGAGTCCAGCAATTCTCTTGCACATAATTACACCAGCCTGAGATTCGAACCTGCGAAACCACGCAGGGTAATCAGAAGTGCGGTGGCGCCACACCGCCGAGTTTTTTAGAATGTGGTTGGAACACTAGATCTTTAAACAAGCAATGTCAACATGTCTAACGTCATGACCAGCACGCCAACATGAGATAGGCATCACCCCATAATTCCACATTTTCTTCCAACGCGTAGGTTATTTGAGTCGATTGAAGAGATTGACGATATCCAGGAACGATGATGATGGTAAAGCAGTAGAACAATCAATATTTAATCAATACATTTTAATTGATCAGATTTCACTTTGCTATGCGAATGTTTACACATGCTTAAAAAATGGCTTGGCTTAAAAAAAACACAGCGGGTTTAATCTGACGTTTAGTTGAAAGTAGGGTCGCTATGTTTGAATTCCTGGAAAACAGAAGTCAATCATCAGGATACGCAAAAGTTTGAAAAAAAAACTGAAACTCCAAAAAGCACATAATAGTCATCTTCGAAAGATGTCATTCATAGTTTTATTCGGGTTTGACTGGTATTGAAGGCGGGCCTTCAATAGAGGCCTTTAAACCAAAGTCTGGGTAATATTCTAACTCTCAAAAGTTTATTCAAAACGTAAGAAACTCACTCACTAAACACTCAAACCACATAAATGATAGAAGTGTTAAAAACAGCTACAGCGGACCAATGCCTCTTCAAATTGCATGCTTTGATATATAGCTGGTTCATTCCTCATGCATTTATGAAAATTTCGACCCAATTATAGGTTTTATCATATGGGCTGAGGTCTCTGATTAATAGAATATACTGGTTTATACCCAGAGTCTTGCGTTCTTGTTAACACCAAGGAACGCAAATATAGTATTCTGCATGCAATGATTCATATTTAGTAAAAAATCATGATACGCCGTTCAGTTGAGAGTTACATATAAACTCAATTCTAAGTGATTCAAGATTCTTGCTGCACAACAACACAAATGTGTTTCTGTAACATTTTTTCCGTTCGAATTGTATTTGTAACATATAACTGTGTCAATAATTGAAATATGTTTGACTTTGGTCTGGCAAAACCTTACAGGAATACATTAATGTTTGCGTGCAAAAAGACTATTCTTTGTACCTCACATTTATTATCAGAAATCATACACGGCTATATAGAATTGAGATATATGGAGCTAGGATAGAAATCTTTGAAATGAACCAACTGAGCTCAAACCATTTCTGTTTAAAAATATCTTCCCGACTTGGCATTCTCACCAACTTTACTGAAGTGTATAAACATTATCGCAACTAGGCTTCGATCCCACCATCTATATTTGATAAACCACTGGCCAGGAGATGGCAAAGTCACTTTTCAAGTAATAGACTATTGCAAAAACGTAGTGATGAAAAATTGGTATTGAGGCCTTTGGGAAAAATTTGAAATAGTAAGCTTCTCATTGATGCAGACATTGATTATATTTATGACTCACTTTTTATTAGTAAAAAGGAATGTTTTACCCACTAATTAGGAAAGGGTCGCCGTCCTCGGACTATAAATTGCAATGCTATATTTATTTAATATTATTCATTGCAGTTCCAGACCAAGGAGAGAACGGAGGCGTGGGAGGAAAAAAGAAAGTCGGAAAACGCTTGTTCAAAGGTGCCGTGGGAGCTGTCAAGCTCGCAAGAAAAGGTCTTGCTTCACCTGCAAAGAAATGGAAAAATAAAAAACTGCCAATTGATGAACTGAGGGTATGCAAAAGATATCTGTCTTATTTAATTGTTCCGAGCGCTTTTTATTCAGTCATGAGTTAAATTCTAGGTCTCTTGTGTATCGAACTCACTAACCACAGGTTCTTTCATTTATGCCAAACTTATAGTTTTGAAAACAAGAACGGATTCGATAATTGTTGCAAAATTCTAAGAATTTTATATACCGCGAGTGGCCATCTGTTGCGCACGTTACCCATTTGCCGCGGTCGTATATGGTATAAAACGAAAACAAGAACAGGATCGCTGGATAGTATGACTTTCCAAACACCCTGAATCCACCACCGCCCTTATTTATTATGTTTATGTCAAGTATAGACTTGAGGGACGTCCCAAACATACTCTACCAAAATCAACTTCCAACGGAACGCAGGGATTAACGCTTCTTCGTGAGATGACCCACGTTTAACGCATCGCGTTGAGCGTAAGGAACACTCTTTTCTTATATATTAGAAGCCGTTTTTATCATAATTGCCGGTATATCTTTTGATAGAAACAAGAAGCGATACGAATATACTGAAATTGAAGTCAATATAACGTACGGCGCTGTTACTAAGCGCTAGGAACACGTGGGAACACGCTTGCTTTAAATATGATATTTCTTCGGTGTATCTTCTGACATATATTTGAGAATCATAACCGTACGGTTTATTATTGCCAGCTCCATCTCATAGTAATATTCTTTATATTCAAACGTCCAGCATATCGCTCACGTAAATATATAACGATGGCATGTATGCAATCAAAAGCATTCAGATTTTTGAGTGCCTCCCAATGGTGTCTTTAACTTCCAAATTTAGGATGGCCTACTTGTGACCCAACAGTACGTATTTTATGCATGCTTCACCATATGATTACGAACGCCTTATCTGTTTTTTCCCCCAGAATAAATATAAAAATCCCAATGAATAATTCTTTCAATCTTTCCACAGCTGTACGACACAGAGCTTGAAAACGTCACAGAATTCTCCGGCTTCCACGACCTCTTGCACTCGTTTGATCTTTTCCGGGGCAAGAGGGAGGATGATGCCGATGACCTCCTGGATCAGAAGAGAATCGTTGGAACTTTCAAAGGAGCTTTTAAGATCTACAGGCTCCCCCTAGCGGAATGGATTGAACAGCCTGATCCCCTAGTTGGAATGTTCAAGGTTCGTGATTGGGCGCTTTCTTGGCCGCTGTTGTTGTTGGACCAAAAATCTCTTTTCTTTTTATTGCATTTGTTGCGTGAATTATTTTTGATTTCTCAATAGCTAAGTGTAAAAAATCTCCCGCATGGCTTTTTAAGATTAAAAATTTTGCAAAATTTTGTTCCAAATTATTTTCCAGTTGTTCCAAATCAAATCTTTGGGTTTTTGTAAATTTATTTCTTTTTGTCCCTCATGATCAGAGTGGATACCAAAAGATGCAGTTACCGGTACCAGCGTCCCTATCCACCATCTTATTGTCTCATTAATAACATGAAATCAGGATCTAATTAGCTAATCTGGATCATTGAGCCATGATTAAAATTTTATGTAGCCATTTTTATTGTCAATTTCTAAAGAATAGTTTAACTATCATGGGCTTATATCCAACAAATGCCGATTGGCGCGACATTTGAGGCGATTCAAGCCAATACAATCAGGTAAACGGCTATGGGCGAATTCAACATTACTGTAAAAAATTCTTTGTATATGCTGTTACTTAAGACTCATTCGGAGCAAAAACGCAACTCTCTCATTAACCCCCATTCTCTACAGAGTCTCCCAAGCAATGAACCACTTCATGTGATGGTTCGTGTCTACGTTGTTCGAGCGAACGATCTTCATCCAACCGATCCTAACGGCAAAGCTGATCCATATCTCATGGTTTTACTCGGAAACCAGAAAGTCAACGATAAAGAGAATTATGTTTCGAAGCAGCTGAATCCAATGTTTGGAAAGTAAGTTAGAACTTTTCTATGTTTACATCGCAGGTTTAAAGGCCTAAGGTCCGATACACAGGTCCGAGTAGGCAGTGCCCAACTGGAAAATCCCGTAGTTTCCAAAAATCGTATCATTTTACGTAGTACCTATCTGCGCATGGTTCTACATACAAACCCTCATTACCGACAACCAGGGTATCCTCTCAAATATTCTTACTCTCTCACTTTAAGTCGTTCCTTTTTACAATATGCCGTCTTTATTATATGACGTTGCTTTTTGTTATATGACGTAACAACTTACTTGAAAGATGTCATTTTTATACAGTGACTCAACATCATGTAATATGTCGGCACGTGTTGACTTATGACGTCACTCACCATTTAATTTTTGTAATATGAAATATTAATTTACCTGAATGCTTCATATTACGTCATAACACAATGTTACTGTCGGAAAATGAAGACTTTCTTGTAAATAAATACGTCATATTATAAACAAGCAACGTTATATTACAAAATTGACGTCATAACACAAAACTTTAATGCAACATAATGCAAAACTTTCATGATGTAATGAAGTTACTTGATAAGGTAAAGTTTATTTAATGTACAAATCATACCTTTTAGAACTTTCGAATTCGAAGCGACGTTTCCCATGGAAAGCGTTCTCACTGTTCAAGTCTACGACTGGGATCTTCTGAGCGCCGATGATCTGATCGGTGAAACCAAACTAGATCTTGAGAATCGATTCTACAGCAAACATCGGGCGACGTGTGGAATAGCGGAAAAGTACAGCATGTGAGTGATTACGTTTGTATATATAGCACGCAACCACTATATACAAAGTTCTGTAGAAGCGGTCACTGATATGCAATGTTCCCTCTACTTTTTTGTAGTATGTGTGCGCAGAAATTTTGGTGTGTGCGCACTTTTTTGGAAATGACTAATATTTGTGCAAAAACCAATGAAGAAATTTTGGCGTTCTAACCGGGTAATAAGTGGGCCAACAACAAACTTTCTCAACCTGCCAACCGAGCACATTGCTACATTACATCGAAATACGTCTGTGCGCAGTAAATCTATGCGTGTGCGCAGCCTTTAAAAGCTGTGTGCGCGCGCACACGCGCACACCTTAGAGCAGGGGTCGGGAACCTTTTTGGTCAAGAGAGCCATAAAATATACATATTTTCAATTGCATTTCCGTGCGAGCCATATAACATTTCTTCACTTAATCAGGCCTGAAATGTTCACTCAAAAGTCAACACATACAATGTCTATATACATTTAATGTGATTTCTGATGCTGCATGTAGTCGCTGCGGGCCTTGAACGGTTGCTCACATGCAGCCCAAGTTGAAATCTACGATACTCATCATCCTTTTTCGTTTAGGCATCTCCGCAGTGTTTTTAAAACTCTATCGCTCTGTGATGTCACAATATATGTTCCAGAATCCCCTTGTTTGTCACAATGCCTGTCTGGTAATTATCTTACATAACATAGACATGTGCTGGACGCGCGTTCTCAAACGTATTGGGAATTTCCTGCCAAATTTGGCTATAAAAGAGTTTGAAATCTCGTAACAATAGTAAGCTTAGTCTTGGGATATTAGATTTTTCCGAGAGCCATATGCCGTCACCAAAAGAGCCATATATGGCTCGCGAGCCATGGGTTCCCGACCCCTGCCTTAGAGGGAACACTGCTGATATGTAATAATTAGGTGATTGACAATTGTGCGCATCGGATGCAAGTCTGTGTCTCCAACGCCGATGACGGAATTTGAAACATTTTATAGAAAGAACCTAACTTTTGTACAACGCGTCCTTGATTTCTATAAAGTTTAGGGTATAATCAGACACAAACAAAAGTTCAAATGTTGACAAAATTAAATAATTCACTCTATTTTTGAAGTGATTAGAAAATTTATGGGTTATGTTTTTGGGGGTCATCCTATACAAATCTAAATTGTTGTTGAGAATATCGATAAATAAGTCAATATAAAATTCCCAGTTTAAAAGTCCGTCTCCGTCACCTCTTTATGCACCCGGCCTCTTGAGTACTATAATCGCAATAACAGAAATTTCAAGCCGCCTCCCATAGAGTTGCATGGGCTCCAATATATAGGTCGTTGTGTTAGTGGATTTGTATACACTGACTGCACTGATACTGAAGTGAAAAATTTCAAATTTTAGAATTCACTCGTCATACAGAAAGCTAATTTGCAATAGTCGCAATTTCACACCATTCTATTACATTCCAACTCTCCGAAATTAGGTGACCCGGTCTCATGAGCTCCAACGTCGCGATGGCATATTTTTACAGTTAGCTGCACGGGTCTTGATATATAGATCTATCGAAAAAGGGCGTAGCTTGATCAAAAACAGATAGCTGGATGGCACTTGGGTTACTTGCTGAATCAGACTTAAAATTGATACGAGTGACAAAGCATTTGCTCTGGTATTTGATACTTTCCACTTAATCTAATATCATACACCAGGGGGGTGCTACATTTTTTGTCGATGGGCCATATCTAAACGAGCCACACCGCGCGGGGCAAACGATTCAACGCAGCGACAGATGCTAAAAACATTATGAATTCTTATTCATGTGAGCCTGTCGGATCAGGATTTTATGCTTGATAGGAGAAATCTGAGTGTTGTCAAGGGCCGCCCTAAATGGTTTGTCGGGCCGAGTTGTGTCCCGCGGGCCGTCTTTTTCACACTGTTGCTATATATAAACTATTGGATAATTCCCCATTGAATGTATGTTGATAGATAACGAATTTTACCTTTCAGCTTTGGTTACAACCAATGGCGAGACCCGATGAAGCCAAGTCAGATTTTGACGAAACTTTGCAAAGACTACAAGATCGAAGGACCGCACTTCTCTCCTGGCAAAGTTAAAGTCGGGAAAAAGATCTACACGGGCTCTATTGAACTTGAAGACGAAAACGGTAGGTTACACTGTCGTATATAGTGTTTTAGAACGTACGTATTAGAATACCATGGTCATTTCCTTCTGTGTGACGTCTCCAAGGGGTCGTATGATGTCATATTTGCGAATTTTGACGTTATTTTTGCGTAATTGTGATGGCGGCACCATTCCGTATCACAATTATACACATCAAGTGTAGTATGAACATAAGGTTATATTTCCTTGGAATGGCGCCAGATTGTGACAATGATTTTTGTATTATAATGTTCTTGGCATGAGGCGTTTTCGCGTCTTTACTCCAACCCGGGGTCTGTGTAAGCAGTCTTTTAGGTTAGATTTTAGAACGGAATTTTTTAATTTCGACATTGCCTATTCACTTTATCACACCGTGGGCGTGGGATTCCAATCTAAGGACCACTGGAATAATTACGTTCAAGGCTTTAAAACTTGAAGTTTGTCGCACTCGCCTGGTCTTATTGTAATGATGCCATACTCTTGTATTGCAATTTTTTCTAAGACATTACAAAGTCAGAGCTATGCATGTTGAGACGGCTATTTTTAAAGTCCTCAAAATCGGTGGTTGGAGTAAAATTTGATACTACCCGAAGTCGAGAACCGAAACTCAAACTCCAATTTTTTTGCATTTATATAACCACTATGTGTATGTGTCATATAATATGAAATTATCTTCTAACACAGGCCACAAGAAACCAACAGATGAGCACGTTGCTCTGGTTGCCCTGAGAAACTGGCATGAGATCCAGAAAGTTGGATGCCATCTTGCCCCTGAGCATGTGGAGACGAGATCGTTGTTCAGTCCAGAGAAACCGGGGATCGAACAGGTGAGAAAATAGAAGAGTTGAGCTTTCTATTCGATCAGTAATTTTGATGGAAGAGTTGTGAGCACGCTATCTCTCCAAGCTGTCATGGTCTCCTTCCCTGGATTAAATTAGGACATTATACGTGAAGAGTTATATAAGTTGCACGTTTGCTCAGGGTTTCTTATTCTTCAAGTAAAAATACTTCGAATAATGATGGCAGAATCGAAAGCCACATTCCAAATTCTCTCTTGAAGTGGTGCTGAGTTTACTATACTGATTTATATGCTTCTTGCTAATCAGCATTTTTTCACCTCATTTCTTGAGTTAATCTGCTTGTCATTCTGTGGTTTGATGAAAAATACAAACAATTCCTAAATTTTACTACTTAACCATGCTATATTTTCTAAAGAAGTGAACGCTCTATAATGAGTACCTGAAAAGCAAATCAAAATTAAAAGTGTTACTTACTTTTGAGACACCCTGTTTATTCGCCCTTGTGACAAGCTTCCGTGGTAAGCGATGGAATTTCTTTCAAAATAAAATAAACTCTTTTTACACAATTTTCAAAATCCTTTTCACAGGGTCGACTTGAACTGTGGGTTGACATGTTTCCGATGGATATGCCCATGCCTGGCCCAGCTGTGGATATTTCACCAAGGAAACCGAAAGGGTAAGTCTGCAGTCGTGTTGCAATTTCACCGATACTTTGAGTAGTTGCCCATAAAACGTTTACCAGATAAAAATTCAGCGATTACACGTGTAAAATCGAGATGAATAGCTCAAACTTGATATCTTATATTATTGGTTCAGTACTGTAATACCGTAGTAGGCCGTTAATATAAAATGCATTGTATAAAGGTCTGAGAGAAAGTAAGATATTTTGATTGTTTTGGAGTTGGAGTCGAATTTTGAATCCTTCAAACCACCGTGAGTCGGGTAAAAAATCTATTTATCTTGTTTGCGTCCGGAGTCTCCCATCAACTCGGTAACTGCAATGACGAGCATTATTCTAACTAATGGCTACGTGTTCCCAACGCACTAAATTCAAAATATTTTCTAGTGGAACAATTTCATTTAAGTTTTATTATCGAATAATATCGGAAGTTTAGTTTGATAGATTTTTATTCTATTTATTATACTGTATTTGTTTTTCTTTGATTGCCCAAATTAAGCTAATCCGTCTGTTCGTTTAAAACGTTGGCAAAACTTATCATATTTTGCTCCCCTACTATAGTCATTATGAGTAAGCCACGTAGAAACAACCATCTACTGGTGCCGGTAGATGTCGCTCTAACCACCCTCTCAATATCTAATCAGCTTTCAGCTTCGAGTTATCATTTGGAACACAGAAGACGTTGTTCTACAAGACGACGATTTTTTTACTGGAGAAAAAGCATCCGATATTTATGTCAAAGGGTACGATATGACGTCATCGTTACGTCATCACATTTATAGTAGTAATTTTCAGACCCTCTGATTCAAGCAAGTTGAGAAGTATGTCAAGATTCATAGGCGCGAGAATTTTTATAAATCTTCGTTCAGTTAACAGTTAATTTTAGTAGGGTTAAGAGCACTAGGTAAGTATGGATGGAAATGCGGTCTCAGTCGTAATGAAATATTCTCCTTCGGTATAAAAAAGATCGACCAAAACTGTTATTATTTTGCTCAAAAGTTATATACACCCCCTCCCAAACTTTCCGTCTATGTACTTGCCAACCTCTCAACTTGCTTGGAAAATGAACCATTACATGTTTCGTGATGATTAGAAAGTATTTTAATATCATCACATAGGTATGAGATGAGAGTGATTATCTGGAACACAGACGAGGTTGTTTGCGAAGATGATGATTTTTTTACCGGGGAGAAAATGTCTGACATATATGTGAAAGGGTATCTAATATGTGTTGTGCGATGTGATGGTTATGTGAAAGCGTTTAAAAACTATTGTAGGAAACGTAAAACGTTGTGGAATGTGCCAATTACCATATGTGAAATGATACCATATGTGTGTTAGCGATGTGCTGTTTATGTGAAAATGTATGTGTTTTTTGAAATTCAACTGAATATTTGTATTGAGATTGTAACTTCTGATGTCTTTGCTTTCTAATTACGCGAATTAGATAAGTATCTGACTCCAAAAACAGAATATATAGTAGGTTACGTGTTCAAATTGAGATATCTGTTAATTTTATATAACAGTAAGGATCTGACCAATTTGCCTGTAAAGATTTTTATTTCCACGGATAATATATCACAATAAATTTACTTACAATAAAACACACTCACAATCGTGAAAACCAAGTCGGTGATGAATTAGCATTGTTGTATAGAACGAATTGAAATAGAAAAGCCGGTTGCTGTATCGAACGAATAGAAAAGCCGGTTGCTGTATCGAACGAATTGAAATAGAAAAGCCGGTTGCTGTATCGAACGAATTGAAATAGAAAAGCCGGTTGCTGTATCGAACGAATTGAAATAGAAAATCCGGTTGCTGTATCGAACGAATTGAAATAGAAAAGCCGGGCAAACCACGATCAAAATGTCTATTTAAACGGTAACATCTTTTTCATCTCGCTCGCCAAAAACGGTACCTTTCTTTATTATCCAAAAATCTCGTTTCCCACGGAGCAATTTTTGCTCATATCTAGAATGTTCGGTACCCTTCTTACAATAATTACACTTGTTTATAGGTTACCTGACATGGGAAATATCCATTTTCTCATACACGAGAAAGATCTAGAAAGATCTCTTCAATATTTCGATTACGTCAATTATTATATAGAATTTGACTTCCATTATCCAAATTATTGGTTAATTTGTTACACATTCCTGGCACCACAAGTGAAATATTTTAAAAGCACATATTAAAAATTAACCGATAATTGTAGAAATATAAGAATGAAATCGAAATTATCATGACAGTAATCAAATCTCGTAACTTTTGAAGATGGCAATTTGAAATGTCAAAGTAATTTGTTTGAAAACTGTCGGATGAAGAGCAAAACATCCACTACGAAGAGCAAAAAAAAATGGTCGAGTGTAATTAATCAATAAGACATAAGACTCAGAAACGACAAGACAAATTCCCTAATTTTGGTTATTTAAAATGGCAATTGAAAGATTTATATACAAGAAGAAAAACATGAAATTTGAGCACTAATTATACATGCAAGAATTAAAAACATACAACTTAAGAACTCATTGTAGCCCCATTTATTATGATTCTGAATTGGGGTCTTTTTAAATTATACGGATGAGACATTTGTATTGTGAAAGGCATTTGAATTGTGCAATTCAGTGAAACAGTAATGGTATTATTATACCTTCTTCTCACCTACACGACTTTCAAAATTGTGAGCACTTGTTTAATGTACGATTTACTATTAGATAAATTTGGCGATAATGACTTTAAAGAATGAAGAAAAGATGGTTTATTGATTCCCAAAAACAAAAAAAATCTTACAATATGACTGTATTGTAGGTCTTCACGTTATCAGTGTTAAACCTTATTAAACATAAGGCTTTTTGGTAGGTCGTTACGTTTCAGTGATTGCAACTAGGTAGGTCTTTACGTTTCAGTGATTGCAACTAGTATTGTTACTACTCAATCTACATTTAATTGTCTGTACCATTTGCAATAAAAATGGGGGGGGGAAGATTTAGATGTAAAACACAATAATTTGTCATGAAATTTGAAAAATACAACAAATAGACGAGCGTTGTAAAACCAATAAAAGAATGCAACAATAAAATTAATTTTGAGAAATCGGTACCGTGATATTTCCTATTAATCTCATAAATTCAATAAACTGCAGAAAGAATTAAGATAACTTCTGTGAAAACTTTGTGCACTTTATTTGGAGATAAAACTTGGTGGAGAAAACAAACAAAAAAAAAATGATTGGAGTACTCCATTTGGGGAATCATTGGTTGAAAAAAAAATGATTGAGGGAAAAAAAATAAGGCTTAAAAACTTGTGAGCCTTTGGATCCAAAAAAAAAAAAAATGTTAAAAAAAGGTATTTATTTTCTTGATTATAATTTCTTGATTATGTAACCTGTCATTGTCTTTTATCAGGTCATAAGTTTTGTTTATCGCCGCGAGCGCTATAAATTTTTATTTATTCGCTTCCGCTATCCGACACGAGATTTAAGACCTCGACATTTCCACCATTGCTTTTGAGGTGTTGCATAGCATTGGCCCTCTCGTTTGCTGGGGGAGCTCTTTGCACCGGTGCCATAGGACGAGCTGTGGATGATTGGCCGATGGGGGTTCGGCTTCTGGCTCCGCCACGGAGTTGTTAGGTAAGGGTGAATTTTCTTTGGGTTTGTGGTTTTGTTTTGTAGAATTCCCTTTTGATAGCTATAATAAGTGTTATTCATTTTAAAGGTAACGAACTCCTGTGGTTCGGTACTATAAAAGTTTATACCTGGAAGAATTCTTCCCGAAGACAAGTATTGGGCGATAACTGTAGTGTTAGTGTTATCAGTATAGTTAACTAAGGGACGAGTAGAATATAACTCGTTAGGTAATATTAGACTATTTAAGAGACTCGCTTTTATGGGTTGACACAAAAGGGTGCCCAGCACGTCGCCTCTGTTAACCGCAAAGAGATTATTTGTTCCCAAAATTTCGTTCAACACATCCGACGGGTACGTTTTCGCTAAAACTCTATAAATTTTAGATAATATTCGTTCGGTCTCACATTCCAATTTAAAGATTTGGCTCTGTAATTTCGCGGACAGAGCGGTTTGTGAGTCTGCGACATTTTGTATCATCAACGTTAATGCCGTCGAAATGTCTGCGTGATCAGCAAACTCACGTAACACGTTGACTTTCTTTAATAAACTACAATTCTTGACTTGAACCAAAAGTTCGTTTTCAAGGCAGAAAATACTGCCAAAGCAATCAGTCGTTAATTCGTTACACACTGAAAAGGAATGAAAGGTCATATGTAAATCGTTTAGTTCTACAGCATATATGTCATTAGTGTTGTTTACATGCGCAGTTAGCGAAGAGTTTATTTCCTCCGCTTTGTTTGGACATTTTTCGAATTTTGCATCGTCAAATAAAAGTGTATAACTACCAATTTGGCAGGAAGATTGATTTACAGAGCAATTTGTGCTGTCAGCTAGAGGAAAAATAATTTTTGAGTTTAGATGGTCATACATTACATAGGATGTTAATAGGGCAATATTTTCAGTTGTTCCGGAATCAGTTGTGGGCCATTTATAGTTGATAACCGGTTTATTCTCGGTTACCCATAGATCATTGGTTTTCTGAACAAACTTACCGAATTGATTCGATTCGTGAGTCTTAAACCAGTTTCTGCAATTTTGTTCGGACGAAGGTACTCCTGATTTTATTTTGGTAAAGTGAGTCTTAGCTCCAAAGAAATAAAAGTGACTTTTCCATTCAGTTATACTAGTTTGGCAAGCTCTAATTGGAATTTTAGTATGCAATTTAGGTGCGTGATAGACTTTAGCTTGACATTTCACTATGTGTTCGGATTTGTGTTGTTTGCAAGACTTATCATCCGATATGTCGTACTCTTGATTGATTTTGTCATTTTGGCAGATATAGCCATGAACCTCTGGATTTCCAAAACATAGCCATGGTAATTGCATAAAAACTAGCAGTAATAGTATAATGGATAAATACCTGAATTCTTGATAAAATTCTTGTCCCACCATCCTGCCACGTTTCAAATAAATGATTTCTCTATCGGATTTGTCGGTCCGGGTTATTTCGTCATTGTCCGAATTTTCCTCTTCCTTTTCCTCTAGACTTCCGTCTCTGCCTGTCCATACCGGTCTGGCGGACGTACTGTCCGGCCGTATCTGGTCTTGGGCTGGTTCTCCTTCTTCCATAGGATGTCCTCTGTCGTTGGACTCGTGAATTCTGAAATAAAAGGTTCATTGTTATTCTTGGGAGTAATTACTGTTTTTATTGGTGGTTTTTCAATTTCAGTGAGAAAATTTGGTTTTCCACGTCATGTTTTTGTTCAGGACGTTCTTCCTTATCTGTTTCAAAAATAGTAATTTCAGCAGGTTTTAATTGGTTAATAGAAACTCGTTCTATACCCTTATTTTTTTTATAGTGAAAGCAGTCTTATTTCGAAATATCACTTCATATGGCCCCTGATAGTTGGGTTGCAAAGACTTTTTTACGTGATCTATTCGTTGAAACACATGACTACAAGTGAACAACTTTGGTGGAATATATACATTAGACCTTAATTTCTTTCTTGTTGGAAGAGCTTTAAAATTTCCAAAAAAACGTTTTAATTTAGAAACATAACTGTAAGGGTCAAAATCTTGGGTTATGTCAGAACTTTCCACTAATTCTCCAGGGAGTCTCAGTGTTCTCCCATATGCAAGTTCGGACAATGAAAATCCGTTTAATTTCGGAATGGACCTCAAACCTAAAAGGACGTATCCCAAGTTTGATGACCATTCACTAGGGTTTTCCTGACACTTCAAACCAAGTTTTAATTCTCTATGAATTCGTTCTATTTGTCCGTTTCCCTGTGGCATATATGGCAATGAAAATTTATGAAACTTCGGCTAAAAAATTCTTCTTTCTAGGAAAGCTGCAAGGGGCATTACATTTGACTGCGTTTTCTCCAAATTTATTATGGAAATAGCAGAAATTTACATCACAATTCCGTCTCCAGTTATAATTGTTCGAATTGAAAGTATTCCTAGGATAACCTCCAGCAAACTTCCTCGTTTCAAATTGACGCCTATCTTGAGAATTGTACTGTCTCGCTTGATGCTGCGGAGGGGCATTATATCGATGAACCGGGTTAAATTTTGGTTCGAATCTTGGGCTGTTTATTGCTTTGATTTGGGTATTCAAATTATCAACATTTTTAGCCAGAGACGTTACCAGATCTGTTAATTGCTCGTGTTTATTTTGTCCAGAATTGTCTTTTTGATAGGAACTTGTAACATGGTTCGAATTATTATCTGAGGAATCATAAATTTGCATCGCGCGAGCCAGCAATTTCTCGCATGAATATTTTGCTATATCTGAGTATAAGACGTTGGCTATGTAAGCTGGTAACAATGCTACAAACACTTTCTTTATTAGATTTTGAACTTCTATACTGTTTCTATGTCCCCCAATAAAGGAATCTTTCAAATATTTAAGAATAATATCTGGCCTTTCATTTTGTAATTGCCCAGAAAATATTTTCTGTAATTTTTCTCGAGAATCCGGTGCAAAAATGTCCAACAAAATTTGTTTCAGTTTTTCATAATTATTATTATGTTCATCGAGCGGCATCCTTGCCCTGACAAGATCCAGTTGTGGAGAATTTAAACACCTTAGTATATAGTTTTTCTTTTGCGAATCGCTGACTATTTGATTTTCAGCGAATTCGTTTTCCGTTAAAAAGATCCAATTTTTCACCGAATTTTCCCAAAGTGGTCTCGTGGGAATTCTATGCTTTTCATACAATATTGTTCTAGGTTCAGTTATCTGAGAGATTCTGGAATTTATGCCGTAATTCGGTCCGGAATCTTCTACTCTATCTTTATTGGTCAAAAATGGGTTGTTTGTGTCATTAAATTTCCTAACCGACGGCAATTGAAAGGTTATTCTCTGTCCAGAATCACCTCCCAAATCCTCGCACTGCGTAAGCTCCATATCAACAACAGGTTTTGTTTCCTTTGGGGACGAACTTTGCCAATTACAATTGTCATCTTCACGTTCAATTAAATTTGATTCAGGAATATTCAAATTTTCAAGTCCAAATTCTGTTTCGTCTTCAATATCTCGGCGTTTTGGTATTTCAGGCGTAATATGTGTTAATTGATATGGATTTACACCTGATTGTTCTGATTTACGAGCTTTGCTTCGCGTAAACATTTTTTGTAATTTAGACATTTATTTACCGAATAATCAATATACCATACAACCTTATACACACTTAAGTAAAACCAGGTACAATATTGTAAGAAGATATTACAAACCAGGTCAAACAGTTGATAAATCACACAGAATAGTTAATAGAATAAAATGACTTACGATTGTTGACGATCCATAATAATCCCGACGTTCGGGGTCACCAATGTAACTTCTGATGTCTTTGCTTTCTAATTAAGCGAATTAGATAAGTATCTGACTCCAAAAACAGAATATATAGTAGGTTACGTGTTCAAATTGAGATATCTGTTAATTTTATATAACAGTAAGGATCTGACCAATTTGCCTGTAAAGATTTTTATTTCCACGGATAATATATCACAATAAATTTACTTACAATAAAACACACTCACAATCGTGAAAACCAAGTCGGTGATGAATTAGCATTGTTGTATAGAACGAATTGAAATAGAAAAGCCGGTTGCTGTATCGAACGAATAGAAAAGCCGGTTGCTGTATCGAACGAATTGAAATAGAAAAGCCGGTTGCTGTATCGAACGAATTGAAATAGAAAAGCCGGTTGCTGTATCGAACGAATTGAAATAGAAAATCCGGTTGCTGTATCGAACGAATTGAAATAGAAAAGCCGGGCAAACCACGATCAAAATGTCTATTTAAACGGTAACATCTTTTTCATCTCGCTCGCCAAAAACGGTACCTTTCTTTATTATCCAAAAATCTCGTTTCCCACGGAGCAATTTTTGCTCATATCTAGAATGTTCGGTACCCTTCTTACAATAATTACACTTGTTTATAGGTTACCTGACATGGGAAATATCCATTTTCTCATACACGAGAAAGATCTAGAAAGATCTCTTCAATATTTCGATTACGTCAATTATTATATAGAATTTGACTTCCATTATCCAAATTATTGGTTAATTTGTTACAAGATATATTTTTCACGAAAAATGGTATCATGTGTGTGTTGTGCAATATGATTTTTATGTACAAACTATCGCATGTGCTTTGTCGGATATTTTTATTCATGTGAGATAACGCCAATTGCCGAATATGTGTCGTGCAATGCAACTTTTATGTAGCATGCATGGGATATTGTATCAAATTTGTGCTGAGTTAAACCTTAGGTTACTGTGTGGCATGACATTTATGTGTGTGAGTATCGGATAGTGTGATGTACAATGTGAAATTCATATGATGAAACAGTCAGTATCAGTTTGTTCTATGGCTACCTTACTAAATCCCTGGTCATATTTAAAAACGCTCGGATGATATGGCCATATATACGTATCTGTTTGTAGAGGTCGTATATGCGTATGTGTGTTTTTATTTTATAAATACTGTGTTTGCCCCACTACGCGGGGGAGGCCAGGGTTACTGGCGAATGTACCATAAATAATACCATAATGTGCCATTATGTGTGTATGCGTCTGAATGCATAATAATTATATGCGTATATTCGTTACAGAACTGAATGATTTATCCTAAATTTTTATTTGAAGCAATGGTCAGCTAAGCATGAGCAGATAACGGAATTAGTTACATACACGAGATCCAAGTATGGCCCAACAATGCTCAGCAAGGAGCAGATAAATCCCAGAAACTTAAAAAAGCTTGATATTCAGTCAATGCATATTTTCCCAATAAAATATTTCCTATGGCTGTCAATATTTCCTACTTGCATTCAAAACGTTTAGTACGGCCTGAAAAAATGAATGATAATTTGGCTATGGCTCATTATTTACTTTCCCAATATTGGCTTATTAATCTATACCATTATTATTTTGCTCAACTCTGTGATTTCTAACATTTTTGCTCTGTTATCACAGTTGGTTGGTTGGGGAGGACAAACAAGAGACAGACATCCACTACCGTTCACTCACTGGTGAGGGGAATTTCAACTGGAGGTTCATTTACCCGTTCGATTACTTGATCGCTGAGGAGAAGATTGTCATTACAAAGAAGGTTAGCGGTTTATTCTATGAATTTGAATTTCTGGTATTATTTTCCAATCATCTGTTTCCCTAGCAGTATAGACTTGATGGAGTCTTGCGTCTATCTGTCGCAAGAGGAAACTTGCATATTGTAGCTGTTAACAATACTGTTTTCACAAAAGGTTCAGTCTAGGGTACTTTTATTCCAGCAGACCTGAATAACAAAATCCACACTATGCGATTCAATAAGACGGATTCTCCGGTGGGTAAAACAACTTTTATTGTAATCAAACCACATTTCTTTTTTCCGAGATAGCACTTTCATTAAGCCATAGCGCAGCAATATACCACATAGTCTTGGTGCACCAAATATAATTCCTCGCATAAATGAACCATTGATATCACTGGTCGTTCATTTTGGCACCATACACTTATTATATACAAGGCTGCATTAATGTCATCCTGAAACCTCACTTGCTCTCATTGCTTCCGGAACGGTAAAAATGGTCATTGACGACGTCATATCATGACGTCAGAATTTTTAAATCCCTCTCCCACGACGTCATATCAGAACAGTAAATATCATTTTCGCAGGAATCTCTCTTTGCCTGGGATGAAACAGAGTTTAAGATCCCACCCAGACTCAACTTACAAGTTTGGGACGCCGATCACTTCTCAGCCGATGATTTCTTGGGTAAGAATGACAACTTCTCTTTTAAAGAGTGTTTTATAGAGTGAGGTCTGTGCGCTCATCGTACGTTATTGTTTATAAGTAAGCATATAAGTACTTGCTATATCAGCCCATGATTTTTTGGGCAAGTATTACTATCTAAGTTGCCTTAATTTGGTATTTTTGAAGTCCATACCAACCCCTTAGAGTTGAATAAGATTACAATAGACTGCGAGTTCAGAAAATATTGGCCCCCGACTCCGGGTTGAAAAAAAATTTTGGACTTTGAATACTGGTCACAACGTATTTCCGACTCCGAAGTCGGATAACGGCAAATTGTGATGATAAAGTATACTGCTGATGAGAGGCAATTTATACATGAGATTTACTCATAAAATCGTAACGGAATGCTTTGCAAAGATTATTCAAAAAAGCTTTTTGTTCCCACAGGTTCTCTCACTCTAGATCTGACCCATTTCCCAAGAGGAGCAAAATCAGCAGCCAAATGCAGTTTAAATATGGCAACAGAGGAAGATGATTCGAGCGGCAAAGATATTCCGATGATTTCTCTGTTCAAGCAGAGAAGAATAAAGGGATGGTGGCCGTTCACTGCCAAGAATGACCAAGATGAATTAGAGATAACGGTGAGTCAGCCTTCTATCAAAAAATTTCTTAATTATCCCATAGTTGGAGCAATGGTTCTGACCTCCGAGTCTGAGCCGAATTTCGACTACAAACATTTGCTTTTTATGTGGTGTTTTCGCACCTTAACTCTCACCAATGCTCTGTACCAGTAGCCATATACATACTGTACATACATATTTGTAAGGCAGTATGTCTCGGTAAGACCTAGATATATACATATGTACGACGTTGACATCCGCCAAAGGTGTCTTAAAAATGTCTATCTTGTCGACTGGCGTGAAAAAATTGAAAAACAAGAGAGTGACAAGTTTGACACGACATTTTGGTGATGCCAGTTTTCTCATAGCAAGCAACCTACTTGATTATTTATACTTCTTACGTGAATCTCTGAGTATTGAAGTTTTCTTAAGTTCCATATCATTTATTTAAAAGGGTAAAGTTGAGGCTGAAATAGTTTTGATGACGGCCGACGAAGCCGAGAAGAATCCCGCAGGATACGGAAGAGATGAGCCGGATCCGCTGGAGAAACCGAAGTAAGTGATTGAACTATGCATGAGTTTTGAGTGTGTGATGACTTGTGGCTTGAGAATGAACCACTTAGAGGCATAAGAGTGTGTAGGCCACCTAGTGGATTGGAGGTATGACCGGTGTAGAGACATAATAGTGTGTGAGACACCTTGTGGCTTTGAAAGTGTGAGCCACCTAGTGAAATAATAGTGTGTGGGACACCTAGTGACGTGGAAATTTGAGACACCAAGTGACATAAGAGGTATACGATATAAGAGGTAACACCTAGTAGATAGGGGGTAAGAGATATATAAAATGTCTGGTTTTTAGTGTCGGTTATGATAAATCAAGAATTATATAAGATTATATGAGACCAACCTTTCTCTGGTCGAGGTTCAACAATCCCCGAAATTAAAACACGATATGTAAATATAGACTGGTCAATCATTACAGGGGATCATTCTAGTTGTAATGTTTTACTAAAACCGACTCTTGCTCGTAGTTTGCGGGAAATTTTGATATTGGCTATCTAACTTGTTTGAAGTATGTTCTAGAAAGGGTAATATAAGGTTTTTTGTAAGTTGTTCACTCCTGAAAAAGCTTTCATAACCTGACCTTTAGCAATATTTGTGAGAAAAAATAAATTGCGACATACCTTCCGAGATTTAGCTCCGTTACATGCTCTATGAACCTTGATAGTAATAGTGACATTAATCGACTTTTCATCCCAACAGACGACCAGACACATCGTTCTTATGGTTTTTGAACCCGTGGAAGTCTTTCAGATATTTGATTTGCGCTCGATTCAAATGGCTGATCATCAAACTTATCATATTTCTGCTTCTACTGGCATTGCTAGTGCTTTTCATTTACTCGTCTCCCCAATGGTTCTCGAAGAAGATTATTGGAGCTTGAGTTCCACGGTTAGAGCGCACTCGAGTATAATCCGCACTGATACAGTTAATTTGCATTAAATTCTAATTGAATTTATTAAAATATTAATAATTTAAAGCCTAATTGATACTAATAATTAAACTATAAAGAAGTCACGAGTCACATCTGATTAGCTTTAATTCCATATTCCAATTCAATAGATTAATTAAACATTGTTTATTAATTTGCATGATATGAATACTAATTTGATTTATTCACTCTATTTAAACCCAGTTTAAGCAAACTTCAATCAAAACTCATTCAGACGCGCTGTTTTTAAATTTTTTTTATGTTCCGTCGAGATTTATGACAATTTTATTAAACCCAGAATAATACAATGTTTCGCATATACTCTGTACTGATTTAATCAACCACGCGCAAAAACCTGCTGCTATTTTTGTTCGAAATGAAATTTTTGATTAGTTTAGGCAGATTGAACCACTGGTTAATAACAAGTAGGTTTATATACACGGATTTGAGCAACATGGTAGGAAACATTGTTCGATACCAAATTTGATGAAAGCAGGGTTATATTAAATTTTGTTGATATAATTTTGATATTCCCGTAGTATAAGCACGAAGACAGTGGACATCGGAACGTAGTATGAGTACCAGGTTAGGGTTAGGCCATAATTTCAGGTACAAATACTACGGGAGTCACTTGGATAGTTCCCAAACTCGTAATAGAACTAAAATAAGAAAAAAAAATGGAATAAGCTTATGACCTAACCCGAACCGGGACACCCACTACGAGAATACCCTTATATTCTATATTTTACACACGCCATACTAATCCATGTCGCACAATCCAACTGACATATTCTTATATTTTACAGCCGCCCGGATACATCGTTCGTCTGGTTCATGAATCCACTCAAATCCCTCCGATACCTAATCTGCACAAGATTCAAATGGTTGATCATCAAACTGTTCATCGTTCTTCTTCTCACTGCTCTACTCGTCCTCTTTGTTTACTCATCCCCGTCCTGGCTTATGAAGAAAATATTAGGAGCCTAAAAACGTAAAATGACGTCATTTTGACGTCATAAGTCTATCCTTAAACAGTACCTGAATGTAAAAATTAAGAACCATATGTAGCTGGTTAGGGTTATTGTATATATTCGGATTCTATACTAATTTTTTGCCAAATGACGTTATATCATGACGTAATTCACTACATTCAAATTTAACAAACCTACGATAAACTCTGAAATTGCTGTTGTCGAATATACCAGAATGGTTTGATTCCACTAGCACGTGTAATATTATTACGTCATATTGTGACGTCATCAAATGAATCATTATTGTATGGTGCTCTTATATCATTTGTCTGATATTCACAATACTTTCCTCAATTTTTGCCAAAGACCAAATTCTGACCCTGATTGCAGCCAGTAAAATTTTGAACCAATATTTTGAATAATATTTCCTATAATTTCACTGATGAACGGGCAAAGTTTGCAATGACATGCAGAGTGCAATTGGTTTAACTTTTAAGTCTTTTTGCCTATACTGTATATTTAACCACCAAATACTGTTCTTATCCCCTTTTATTACATTAAATATCATTCGTGACGTAACCAATGACAACATGCTCAAAGTGGTAAGATAATTTTAATTTATGATTGGTCGAACAACTTTTTCTTTACAATATTCACCCCACTGGAGTGCATTCTTTTTATCTAACGAAAACTGCGGCAGAATTTTACTTGTATATATCTCTCTTGCCTAGCTCAACTATATCCCGCAGTCAAAACAATTTCTATCGCACTGTACATTGTATGTATTTAGAATTATTACTCGTTCCTATAGCACTTAGATTTTTGTTTTAATTAGCACTTGTAAATACTCATTTCACGTAAACGATATGATTTCCTTCTGAATTCAGTTAGGTGACCCTTTGACTTTTTACGGGGTGTCTAATGCAAGAACAGGGTTATGGAGTGACAGAAAAGAAACCTAACTAATCTGGATCTATGAAATTTGGATTTTTCAACGACTATCTCTGGTAAAAAAATCAGGCTGCGAATTCGGTTATAAATACATATTCTGATTCCAAAGGCTGAACATTTTTACTAAAATATTTTCCGCTTCTTCGATTCAACCGAAAATTTCGATACCATGTCCAGATTTGGAAGTCTGAAACTGAAAAGCAAATTGCAATGAACGCCGACTCCGCGAAATTAAGTTTGTTTTTTATTATAAAACTTATATGAAATCTATGTTTTCCTTACCCAGCTAAGGGCATGGATGCCTCCATGCCTTGATTCAGATCTAAAAAGATTAACGAGTCCTATCTTCATCTGGCGCTTCATCGCTTTCACGCTTAATTTTGTTCTCGTTCTCACAACGAGACACCTCCAAGAACAGATTTGTATAGTGACTATGCGTGAGAAAAGAGTATGCTCAAACTAATTTGCCATGAATGATATGTTCACTCTAACTAACCACTCATCTAAATTTTTATATTCATTTCAAGCCGAAACATACTTTGAGTATGTTTAGTCATATGCTCAGTCTGAAGTTTTATATCCTAACCCAGAACATACAATAAATTCGATAGCTACACGCACCGAGTTCGCTTGTTTGATTCACCCTAGAGCAGTGGTTCTCAAAATTTCTAAGTCGCGCCCTTTTTTTTAGAATTTTCCAAGTCTCGCGCCCCACCTCAAAATAAATAGCTGACAATAAGCTACAAATAACAGGTAGTGAGCCTCCACGCTAAAGATAATAAAGATACAAGCACAATAGCCCTGTGCAATATCTAAACAATAAAACAATGAAAATATCCAAATTAAGGCGGGCAAGATCTAGTCCAACAAATAATTTGAATTTTAATTAGATCCACACCCCTTCAAAAAATTGTCTACGCCCCAATTGTGCGACGCGCACCACCGTTTGAGAAACACTATCCTAGAGCAGGGCTACTCAGCTGGCGGACCGCGGTCCGAATCCGGACCTTTCGAGTATTGGATTTGGACCGCACCTAATTATTTATTTTGGATCATTAGCCCCACTTTTTGAATTGCCTATTATAACATGACTTTCATAGTTTTGAATATATACGAAAAGAACTATAACACCATAATAAACAATTTTAATTTGCTACTAATCACTAGTCGGTCGAGGAAGTGCTCGTTTATGGATGCCGAAATATCATTTCTGGAAAGACCGGACCCAAATAATTTTGAAGTTTTGTTTGCGAAACTTCGATAAAAATAGTTGAGTAGCCCTGTCCTAGAGCCACGAAGTTTACAGAAACAATCCTAGTAAAAATCATTCACCAAATTGGAGGTGCCGCCATACATAAAATTATGATTTTACTTTTAAAGAACTGTAAATACAAGAGTTGTTATAATGTATATAGTAGATATCGATGCTAGTTAACGTAATTAAATATCACTGAATAGAATTGTGTTGTGTTCATTGTGTCGCAGGTTTTTACTTAAGATATGGGCTCCACTAGCGATCGTTATTAAACTTAACTTAATTCATGGCGATGGGTGGCCTATGTCCGACCACTGGTTTTATATATGTTCTGGCTGACAAGAAATTGAAAAGAACGCAATCGATCAAGACTATTCGAAATTCTTTAAAACCTCAAAAATGATTAGCGAAAATGGCGTTTTTTCGACGTGCGCGGGAACAAATCAAGAGTGCCTTTTGTACCAATGTGAGTCCAGCAGAAAACCAGAGAAATATTATTCTGAAGTTTTCAACCGCTTCTACTCGGGGATTATAATTCTTATTGATAATTCTTGAGGAGAAATGAATCTCACGCAGAATTGAAGTTCCCATGATAAGAGTCAAACGTATATGGGCGCAATAAGATGGCTTTGGTAACATGATAAGCATGTACAAAAATTTACGAGTACAGGTCTGTAATATTGGGAATAGAACAAAAAGTACCAAATCACAGGAGAACACTAAGGTCATCAAAAAATATTGCTTTACCGTTGTATATGCAAACTCGACGGTTTGAGTTGAAATTCGAATATAAACTGCGATGCGCTGAAAATTTTTAACAACATTTCTCAACTTTATACGTAGCCAATTATGATATTAAATTGTGGTGGAAAGCACAACGTTTCTTCATGAATTAAGGGGATTCAAAAATTGTAGCAATCAAAAATTAGATTTTCTCAAATTTGGAGCGAACTTGATTATTCGTTACTCTCATTGTCGACAACTTTTTACAACGATTTTAATTACAAACCAAGCATCTTACTTTAAAGTATGATAAACAGAAGAAATAAATTAAAAAAATATGGGTCTTCAAAAATGGAACAAAAATCAGACCCTTTGCAAAGTCGATGATTTGATGTTAAATTTGGTGCTAACTTGATGAATCGAGGTCGAATTCGAATATCTATTTGCCGAAACTGGCAGAGCACTGGTTTTCAATCTATTACTGACCGCGTACCACATTACTGTTTTTTATTCTGGCCGGGTAATACCAAAAAATTCTCTTTTTTGGGATGGAGGACAATGGCGCAAAAAACTCGCTGAAGGAGTATTTGATCACGTGTCACAACATCCTTTGTGGCGCAAAACGGGAAAGGGCGATCTAAAAAAAAGACTGGTAGCGATAAAAACATCGTTCAGCGAATACATGCAGTATGGAATAAAAAAGAAAGCGCTGGGATATATTTTATCCGGCTCGAAAGTTAATTGTTGAGTTTCATGTTTATCAGGTATTGGCACTAACATAGTGCTACCCACGATTTCAAATTCTTAAGAAACTGCTAATTTTTTGAATCTAAAATAATATCAATTTTACTTTAAAATATTTTTTGGAATATTCGAATTAATTCAGATTTCCCCCCTACAAACCACTAGATGAAACCAACGAGCTCAATTTGGCATACAGTTTATACTTTTTTCAAAAATATTATCATACGTTTTCTATTCAATATAATATATATTCTCTATTTCGTCTTCTATCTTTATTTATTACTGTTTGAAGAAAATCACGAATTTGTTGAGAATTTTTTGGATCTCCGCTCTATAGGAAACCCTTATTCTCAGTCGTTCTGTCTGTTTGTCTGTCTGTCAGTGTATCTGTCTATCTGTTGTAGAGGATGTAGCCTCTAAACGGCTGGATCAATTTGGATGAAATTCCTCATGTAGGTTAACCTGTCATCCTAGTATTATTCGTTTCCTCGAACAGCTGAATTGATGTTTCGTTTCCCTGGAACCAACCAAAAAACATCCAATCGTGGAGAAATTTCCAATTCTTTGACATTCTGTCGCAATTTTAAATTAGGTAAATTAGTAAATTAAGTCGAAAATTAAAATTCTAAGATTGCCACCCTTCGCGAAATGCTTTCTCTAACAAGCCGCCCATCATCTCGATACATCTATAAACTGGCGAAGCTTTAGGAATTTTAGTGTACATGTTTCGATATTTTGCCACATTTTATTCCTCACGCAACGATGAATAAGCAGATATACAGCGTTTAAAGAAACAGGCAATTTCGGAAACCGTTATTGCATGCACAAAAGGTCTGAGATACGAGTAGCGTTGATCATATCCAAACGAAGTTAAGGGCAACCACTAGTGTGCTACAGAAACTAAAACGAATTCGATCATCGCGATAGCGCAATACAAGTGCGGGACTGAGTATCAGTGGAGATCCTGGGCGCCTACCGGCTTGTATATACAAGGATTTAATAACATGAAATACGACACGGACAGATCGTTAAGTTTTTTCACCATTAAGATTTATGAATTACGATTATTAGATAAATATCTGTGGAATCGATTTTACTAGGATTTATCAATAATGGTATAAATTTTATTTATTTAAGCCAAAATCTTGAGTTTCAAAAGAAAGTTACCTGCTGTTTGTTGTCGGGATCAACTCAACGTTTCCGACTATATCAAGTGTCTTTCCCTCTCGTTACGTCTATGTTACCACGACCTTACTCTCTAGATATCCAGTGGTAATTTACTTTCACATCGTTCGATATATGGTGAGACTTTCTATAATAGCAGCTACATCTAATAAATATTACCAAAACCAAGTTTTATATACAGGGTATCTCAAAAGTAAGTACACACTTTTAATTTTGATTTTTTTTTTCTGGTATTCATCATAAAGCGTTCATTTTTTCAGAAAACATAGAATGGAGAACTAGTAAAATTTAGGTATCGTTTGCAGTTTTCAACAACCAACAAAATGACAAGGAAATTACCCCAAGAATTGTGGAGTAAAATTGCTGTTTGGCCAGAAGCATGTAAATCAGTACAGCACACCTAGCGCTTCGTCAACAAAGAATTTAAAATTGTTTCAGCGAATGTTTTTTTCAGAGTGTCCGCTTCTTGGTCTTCATGATCTTTGTGCATCAACTACAGATCCAGTTTTCATGAATTTCAAAAGAATTTCGTAACTATTCGTCGTAAAAGTGCCGAATGCTATACTATTTCATATGCTTCTTGCCAAACAGCAATTTTTCATCTCATTTCTCGGGGTAATCTCCTTGTTATAACTCATCGATTTTAATCGGTAACTAGGTATTTGTCTATCTGTCTGTCTGTCTGTCTGTCTGTCTGTTAGATGCACGCGATATCTCACGAAGGCAAGATTGAATCTGCTCCAGATTTTGCATGTGCATTCATCATATGTCGTAACAGAAGCCTATTGATTTTGGATGAATTATGTCGTATGATTAGCGAGTTATTAATTAGATAGTGATGGGGCACAAGGTGTCATTATGGAGTAAGAGCGCTGTTTTGGGGAATTCCCTAACTTTCGATCGATAAGTCTTCGGTCTCTGACCGATATTCTCGTTCTGTGGGTTGTTGAATACTGCAAACAATACCTGGATTTTACTACTCATCCATACTATGTTTTATGAAGAAATGAACGCTATATGATGAGTATCCCAAAAGCAAATCAAAACTAAAAGTGTATACTTACTTTTGAGACACCCTGTATAATATGGAAGCGAACAGTAATGATCATCGATAGCGCATGGTTGCCACCAGGTATATACATATCGATGATGAATAAAGCACAACCGATGTTAACAAAACGATATAATTTGCCGACGTTTCGAATTCTTATTCAGAAAAACTTCATCAGAGCATTATATGGAAAGCACACTATCGTATGTACATATAGGGAAGAGAGAGAAAAAATTATCACTGCATGAAATCTAAAAACGAACAAATATGATTATAGATCTATGTGACTTAGAGCAAGTTCATACAAATAAGGCGACCATCTAAACAATGACAATGCGAAATAATAGTAGTTTCTTAATCATTCATAGAATTCTTTTCTCTTTGTTAATGTGGTAAAATTCGAGAAATTGTCCTTTTCTGTAATGGGTTTCATTTTTCAATATCCTGCTGTTTTCCCATGTCAAACAAAAAAATCTGAAAAGTCCGCTCTCTTAAAACGTATCCTTTCTACAGATCACAGCATTGACTGGGAAAACAGCAGGATATTGGAAAATGAAACTCACTACAGAAAAAGCTTATTTCTCGAATTTCACGTTATTAACAAAGAGAAAAACATTATTCGCTATTTGATTAAGATCTCAAAATAGCTTATAGTCTAACTTAAATAGTAAACATCACTGACGATTTACAATCTACATCAGCGATATGTCGAACTCCAAAACTGACATGGCTGCTTTCAACTACATCGAAAAGCCGAAGCCGAAACCTCGTCTAAGCAGAAGCCTACCAGACCCTGGCCTCTCCCCAATAGGTCCTGTTTCATATCAACAAGAGGGACCTAATTTTCAAAAAAATCTACAAGAAGCAATCCAGAGACAAATAGAAAGCCAACTACCATCTCTAATCACCAAGTACCTTGCTGAGAACTTCAATACAGCAAATCTTACTTCGGAATACATACCCCTAAGCCCAGGCCTTAAAGAATGTATGGAAGACCAAATCCAATCTTTAAAGGAAATAAAAGAGGACATTGCCTTAATCAAGGAAAACCCAGAATTTTCAGTCGGATATGTTCGATAAATTATCCGCAAAGCAGAAATTTATGGAAGGGAAAATTATAAACTGTGACAAAAGAATAAGAGAATTAGAAGATTTGGTTTATGATCTTGAGGAAGATCTGTATTATGCCACAGAAAAAATGGGGGGGAAAGGAAAGGCGCTCTCGACTCGACAATCTAGAGTTTCATGGTCTTGCCCCAACTGTGAATGAGGACACAGATAAACTAATAATGGAAATAGGAAAACTGATTCATGTAGATATTAAACCATCTGATATCTCAGTTACACATCGCAGTCCCACTCACAACTCTAATATCCACAAGCCAATAATCGCCAAGTTCACTAACAGAAAAATCCGAAGCAAAATTCTTAAAAATCGCAACCTCATAAGAACTGCTTCCAACAAATCACCTTTAACCAATTAATCAAAAGCTTTTATTGTGGAAAACTTAACAGAAAAAAATAAAAACCTGTTCTATCAAGCTAAGATCCTGAAACAAACGATGTGGGTACGCCTTTCTTTGGACTTCCAATGGGCGAGTGTTGGTGAAAAAAAACAAGGATACCAATACCCTGTCGATATCAGATGAAGAAGATCTGCAAAAAATCAGATAAGTTGATTAATTGTAATTCCCACTGTAATTTTCTATCTATTGTTATTTTAAATCTAACTCTATTGTTGCTATTAGGCCCCACTTTCAATGTAAGCCCTTTATTAACAAGTTTCTGTGTATACTTTTTATTCACTTATTCAATACGATTCAATGTCTACTGTCCATGATGTACCTATATATTGTTCCAAAATGAACTGGGAATCTAACAATTTACATCATCATGTTAGTACAACTCACTGTCGATACCTCGAGTTAAACGAGATCAGTGAGGTCTCATCTAGATTTCTACCATCTGACCTTATTTTGGTACACTTCAACATCAGATCTCTACCAAAATACATTGACCGCTTAGTCGAATTGACATCAAATTTTCACTATCTCCCACATATTATTGCGCTAAGCGAGACAAGAATTAAAGCTGGGGGAATGGCCGAAAATGTCGACATCCCAGGATATAACTTTATGTATGTTCCTACTCCTACCCAAGCTGGTGGTGTAGGTTTTTATCTTAAAAGCAACTTAGATTACCAGGTGATCCAAGAATTTGATTTAGGATTTCCAAATTGTGAGGACTTGTGGGTAGAGATCAAACTTAACTCGAACAACCAGAGATTTGTAGTTGGTGTCATTTACAAACACCCCAAATGTAATATACCCTCATTTTCTGGAGCAATGGCTCTTGTTTTCGAGAAGCTGGCAATGGCGAAAAAGAGGTTTGTAATATTAGGTGACTTCAACATCAACCTACTTGACACCCATGACAATCCCACTGCTAAATATTTGGACATGCTTATGTCCTATTTCGTATTGCCTGTGATTACAAAACCAACTAGAGTCACATCATCCACCCACACCCTCATAGATCATATCTATACAAATAACATAGGTAATGTCTCTTCATCATTTATTTTGCTTAGTGATATTACTGATCATTTTCCTGTAATTTGTACAATCTCTGGTTTAAATGTTTCTTCCAAGACAAAAACTCGGATGAAGCGAGATTTGACAAAATTTTGTAGCGACTCTTTCAGATCTGAGGTCGAGTCGATGTGTAACAACTACATTGATACCGCTCTCTGTAAAGCAAATTTTAATTTATCTTTCGATTCTTTCCTTGGCCAATTGAAATGGTTAATCAACAAACATGCCCCACTTCGACTTGCATCACGTCGAGAAAATAAATTGTACTTGAAGCCTTGGATAACTAGGGGGATTCGCAAGTCCATCAAACACAAAAATCAAATGTTCAAAAAAAAATTTTTTCAAGGAAATTTTACTTGAGCGTCTTTACTTTAAAAAATATAAAAATATCTTAAATCATTTGCAGAGAAAATCAAAACAATTGTATTACCATAAAATCCTCAAAAACAACCGAGGTGATGTAAAACACACTTGAAAGACTATAAATGAAATTATCAAAATCAAGTCCAGAGATGATACCCCCATCTCAGAATTGAAACTCGATAATGGTACTACAGTCAGAGACCCTGTCATGGTGGCTAGCGAATTCAATAAATTTTTCTCAACAGTGGGGAAGAAGCTTGCAGATAAACTACCTCATAGCTCAAAATCATTCGCGTACTTCTTGGGTGCTCCTCTGCAAAGCTCTTTCTTTCTTGAAGTAACTACTCCTGCAGAGGTCCTCCAAATGATATTGAATCTAAAAAAAGGAAAAGCAATTGGGCCTGATTGTATTCCATCACACTTCCTAAAAATAGTTGCTGATATCCTATCACCAGTGCTCAGTCATTTTTTCAATTTTTCATTCAAATTGGGTATTTTCCCTTCCTCTTTAAAAGTTGCTAGAGTGAAACCAATTTTCAAAAGTGGTAAGCATAATGACCCTTCAAATTACCGACCAATCTCCATCCTCTCCTCTATTGCCATTATCTTAGAAAAACTTTTACATTGCAGATTGATCAATTTTTGTACAAAATTCAACCTGATCAATAAACGTCAATTTGGATTTCAAACCAATAATTCCACCAGTCATGCTATTTTAGATCTAACATCATTTATTTATGATAAAATTGACAAAGGCGAATTTGTCTGCTGTATTTTTCTCGATTTAAAAAAAGCCTTTGACACTGTCAACCATAGTATCCTTTCCCAAAAACTGAGACTATTAAGCAATTACTTTTCGGGTCGATTCCAATATGTGGAGGTGGATTCTCAGCAGTCTCCGATGTTGCCCATTCATCACGGAATTCCTCAAGGTAGTGTGTTAGGTCCTCTTGGTTTCTTAATTTACATAAATGATCTGTCTAACTGCTCCAATTTCTTGAGCAAATTGTTTGCTGATGATGCTTGCCTGCTCTACAGTGCAAAAGATCCGAGTATTCTCCAAGACAAGGTGAACACTGAAATGAATAAAGTATATGATTGGATGACTTCCAATAAACTTACTGTGAATATACAAAAATCCAAAGTCATGTTATTCGGCCACAAATCTCTAGCCAGACATGCGAACATCTCAATCAAAATTACAGGTATCCCTCTTGAAATTGTTCACTCTTATAAATACCTTGGCCTCACTATTGACAATCAATTAAAATGGAACTTTCATACCAATGAATTGCATAAGAAATTGTCAAGATCAGTCGGGATCCTAGGGAAGTTAAGGCATTATGTAAACGACTCGACTCTGCGAACAGTATATTTGGCTCTTTTTCAATGTCATATCCAATATGCCTTAGCTGCATGGGGTTCCGCTACCAAAACAAACTTGAATAAATTAGAGATTTTACAAAATAGGGCTGTTAGAATTCTCTGTAGGGCATCTATTCGTTCTAACCTGAATATCCTATACCACAAGACCAGGGTTCTAAAATTGTCCGACATCTATAAACTAGAGATTTCTAAACTTATGCACCAATTTAACAACAACCAGTTGCCCCCAGCTTTTGCTGACTATTTCGTCATGCTTAGTAACGTGCATGAGCATAATACACGCTCATCGACTAAATCCAATTTATTTGTCCCTCGATTTTCATCAAGCAAATGCCAAAACTCCTTGAAATACAGGGGAGTTGTAATTTGGAATAGCATAGGTCAAAGCCTTCGTCATTCAACTTATGACACCTTTAAATTTAAATACAAAAAATTCATGCTTTCCCTTTACCATTCTGCTGCCTTTTCATCCGATTAAAGTGGATCCAGAACTTTCTTCGCCATTGCCAGCTCCACTGTCGACTTGATCCAGTGATCCAGAGCAGTGGTTCCCAACCTTTCTACTCTGGCGGACCGGTAAAATTAAATTAAATGTACTCGCGGACCGGCAAATAATTGAAAAGACCGGAACAGAAAAGAATAACATATATTTGCGTAATATAATGCAATGTCGGGCACTCAGTATGCTTTTAGATGAAAAAAGGCACACTTAAAAATATCATATAATGTGCCGGCCAAAAATTGAAATGGGTAAAACATGAATATATTTGCGTAAGGAAATGCAGCGCTGGGCACCCATTATGAATGTAAGAAAGGCACACATACAACATCTCACATGAAAAACATGTAAATGCCACAGCAGTTGATCGACGCATCAAACGAATTGAATTTACATCACAATGACAAAGTCGTCGGTAACTTGGCACCAGGCTCAAAATCCAACTGTGCCTGCTCAAAATACTGGAAAAGATCTCAGCGGCCCGTGCTTTTTTGCGCGTCTTGTGACCACCTGCAGGGTCGGAACAAGTAGGCCTACATATCTTACTGGAATATTATACTGTTTTTAACTGTTTTCGGGTTTAAACAAAGAAATATGCATAACGTTTTATATGGATGGTAATGTTAATTAGGAAAAGCATGCTGAACAGAAAAAGTACGCGTGCCGATTTTTAGGTTTCTGAATCTTGCGAGATTTGATGCCGCGCATTCGCGATGAATCGGAGCCAAAAAAGCGAAAAGTGTGATTACTCGGCGCCAAGATGTCGTGAAAGAAGTCGCCAATATGACGGCGGAAGAGAAATTGCGTAATAAACTAACGTAAACTCGTCTTCGGTAAAGCGATTGAGACGACATAAAAACAACGAAATTTCTCGCGGACCGGCAAAAAAGCTTTGCGGACCGGCACCGGCGGTTGGGAACCACTGATCCAGAGTACCTGAAATATATAATTTTGGAATTTATCGTGTAATCAAACAAATATTTTTACCTATGTATGTTACATGGACCCAGCCTTACAAAAAGTATTTACTGTATTTTTAATTTCACCCAATATATCAAAGGGCGAGCTTTTGCTAAAATATTGACCTAAATCAAAAATTTTAGGTATCATTCTCTTATTAAATGACAATTGTCCTGCTATATGCATTTACAATCAGTCATGCTTCCAATGCAAAGCTCATATTGTCTTTTCTGACCATGACCTCTTTATTACCTATTTACTACTATGAATTGTTTCTTTTTACATATTTGATTCATCTCTGATTGACCCACTGTGTGAATGAGAGGATATCATGTAAGAAGAAACCATGCATAGTTCATGCACTGTGATGTCATGTAAAATAGTCAGTTATATATTGGTAATATTTGAGCCTGATCTAAGTTACTAAGATCTTAGTCACTGGCACCCTTAATAACATCATTTTAATGTTAAACCATATTCGATTGTAAATTTTTTTTTTTTTATCTTTGTACATTTGGCATCGTTATGTCATAAACTGACTGACATTAGATTTTTATCAATCTACCTACCTTTGCTTTTTCCATGTTCTGTATGAAGTGGTTAGTTCCACATGAAATTTAATCCTACCTTGATCTTGTAGAATACCATTTATTCATTGATCATGTGCCTTCCAGTTACACACCGAAGTTCAATTTTCTTACCATAAAAGGTTAAATTATTTATGACTACCGGTACTACCGTTGCATGCCTACCATACTACTGGTAGGCTTCCTGTTCGTGAAACTTCATTGATACCTAAACAACTGTAGCCCTGCACCATACAATGTTCTACATACGACCACAGTCACTTCACAATGGTACCATTGTTACTTTGCAGCTATCGTCATGGCTACTTAGATAATTGGTGCACGGAGTCGTTTCTTGTTTTGTTATTGTTGAAACGCGAGATTACTGGGCATACCTGGTTGGAATGCCTTGACGTATTTATATTTATTTTCAAATTAACGTATATATGATACTATATATACACAGTTCGACTTTTTTTTGTTATTATTTCCTTGTTAGACTTGCTTATGGGTGCCGCTGCTCGATAACCAAATTTGGTTTCTCGCGGCTCCCCTCACCCTGAAATGCCTTTTTATTTATTTATTGCAATTTGTATATCAAGTGTGCATTTAGTATGGTGAGAAAATAAACTACTGATTACTGATTATGAATTTTTACTCTATGATATTTAACAGGACCTAGCGTATTTGTTGGTTTTTAATAAAACTTTTCATGGTCAAGCATATTGTCCGCCAGAGCGCCAATTCGCAATGATTCGTTCGTTTAAACCTAAGTGAGCGGAATTGAATTTGAAGTCGATTTCTTTCATTGAAGTTGAAAACCGGATATGAAGTGAATCTAGCGTGAGTGAATGATCTGGATTCAAATTTTAGAATGAGCCAAATGCGGTTTGTGCTTACTTTCAATATGAGACCCGTATAAGATCTTTAAAATATAGTGAAAAAACATATATGGATAATATTGGGTTTGGTGAATTACTGTTAGAAAAATGGTGGAGTGAACTTGAATTTAATATGAATGGCTAAATACCAGTGAAATAGTTTGCTTACTGTAAAACAAAAGTGTAAAAATCACCTATATTACATGTAAAATAAAAATGTCAATTTGATTTGATTTATGAAAGAACGAAAATAATATTTACACTCTATCAGATATGGCATAAAATACAAACAAGAAAGTGGGGACAATGGCAACTCTGCTACAGGTAATTACGAGGCTATGTTGGCGTTGAAGGGTTTGGATTCAAACATCCAGGCTCCGAACATATCAACCTCTTCCGTCTTCAGCACCACACCTGATGAAACATCCTCTGCACCAGCAGTTCTGGAATATAACAAATCACAATCAAATACCGTGGACTTAAATGAATCAAATCTCGACAACTCGGATTATGCTAATAAAAGAAGCCGTGACGAAACGTCATCAGACTCGTCATTTTCGACCACTTTGGAATTTGAACTTGTTGGCAAAAAGAAAAAATAGTTGTAAGTTAATTCGGACCCCACAAATCAAAATTCTGTAACCTGGACATTTAATTCGGCCTTTAAACATCGAGCGTAAAACAAACTGCCCAGTTGATGGCATAAAACTCAACTTGATAATACCATCCCACTTATAGCGGATGTGATGAATGGAAGACTACCTCTTCATGTGGTATATAAAATGGTGATCTCTATGGCAAAGAGAAGGGATCCATATAACTTCCGTCGGCATAGTCTGGGTATGAAGGCAATTGGGCTGGATTCCAGACTTTGTCGTTCTGATCCGTGAATGGAAAAAAAAAATAAATAAATTGGCAAGAGCGTAGTAAGCAACTACTGCATGGATGGTTTTGTCTTTATTTTTAAAATGTTCTGCTAATTTCGTCAATTTCTTTATATCTCCCACAAACTGTTCAAGTCGTTTTTCATCTACGCCGCTGTTGGAAAATTGATCGAGGAGAACCAGGTGGATATTCGCCGTGTCACTGAAATTTTTATTCAAGATATTCGATGAAATTTTACAAAGAATAATTCTCCATATGATCGCGATTACAGTGATGAGCGTTCTCAGCTCCTGTGGTATATTCAGGGTTGAAGCTGTAAGAAAGAAGAATAAATAACTAATACCATAGAATAATATAGATATCACTGATTTTATCATTCGTTTCGTTTAGAAATTAAGCCTGCCTTGAATTTGGCTGCATTAACGGTTTTTTGATTAAATTATTTCAGATTAGCTATAGCCGAAATCACTTTTCATTTTAATAATACCTAACTAGACCAATCAATATCGGTACTAGAAATAAGAAACAACTAATCACTTAAGACCTTATGATTGTGCCATAATAACATCGTAGCTCACCTTCTCTGTTATACATTTTTATCATTTTCAACGAGGATTCTTCATATTCTTTGCTGAGCTCCTCACTAGTTTCGATGGATATGCCATTGGTTTGAGAAAATGTAGCAATTGTTTCCTTCTGATCAGTTTGAAATTCATTTTCTTGGAAAGTTTTAACCAAAGTCTGTGTCGGGGTGTTCGTCTGTTGTAGAATAGTTGTCTGGGTGTTGTTGTCGAGAGCTTGTTTTGGATCCGTCTGCACATACATTTCAGTTCTGGCAAGTGCATGTCCAAAAACGCGTACAGCAATGTCTGGCCTTGTCTGAGTGTCCATATCTAGATTATAATTGTCTGTTTGCAAATGTCTGTCTCTTGTACGACGTTTGTCCGTCTGTGCTTCCGTATCGTCAGTTGGCTTCTTATCCGTTTGATTCATTCTATCCCTTCTGTGAACGAGACTGGTTTGAGACTCAGATTCGGTCATGGGATTTTCGGTTTGCATCATCCAACCTAAATAAAAACAAAAACGAATATATTGAGCGCCACGAACATTGCACTTATGGGCGTTCAACTCAATGCTAATCAAATTGAAATATTAGCTTCACATGTCCTTGAATATTACACGATTTATCGAAAATAAAAAGATAAAAAGACCAAATTATGTTCCACATCCCAGCTGATCAAAAACGTGTTTTATTATCTCTCAAAATTTCAAATAAAAAAACTTCACATTATCTGTTGAAATGATTTTTTTTCTTTTTGCTAAATATTCGCTGCATACTTTTACTCAATTTTTTTTTATAAAAAAATTCAAGACTAAATTTTGAAATAGGAAGTCTTTTTATTAAAAATTATAGTTACAAATATTTTAAGCGATAATGTGACACAAGAACGCCATCTCGTGTCCATTACCAGTACTAAGATTGCTGGCATCATTACATGTCTGATCCATCCGGTCACATTACTGTTATCACAGATATTCGCATAATGTACTAAATTAAGCTTGATTCGCTGAACTGAATATATAACTGTCTTTCCGGTAACTGTCTAGACCGGTGCTTGCCAAATTATAGGTAGGGACCCAAAACTGAGTCGCCTGAAAATCATCAGAGGGTCTTTCTTTTTCAACAACAACTTAAAGTTACTGATTTTTTTTGTTTTGTATTTTTTGTTTGTTCATTTTGTATTGGGTAT